GCACAAGAACAATCAATACAATCAATTACTTCCATCAATTATCACAGTCTTTTATCACAGTGATCCAAACGTGTCCTTAATCAGAAAACCCCTCACAGTCTGACAGGTGTGGTCTCTTCCACTTCTCGAAAAAGTGATGATGTTCTACTTGGTAGCATATTATACTATACTGCCGCTCATTAATAACTGGAAACGCAAATGAGCTCTCTCCGGTAGAGTGGAGGAAGTAGTTTCACAGGAGGCTGCTGGTATCTGAGTTTGATTCGAAGAGAATGTCACATTCAATGTTATCAATGCTCATGTGGCTTTGGACAACTCAACCATTCTAAGTCTCTTTATCGTGGCTGTCCAGTCCAAAGGCTCTGGGTTGCATGCTACCTCTTTTCTCCACAAATCGCTTTCAACATTAACTTTCTCTTAACAAGCAGTGGCGAAGATAATAAGAGAAGCGTATGATAGTATAGATGTCAGCAAGGAGAGCGTTGTGGAACTGTGATTAATTCAGAGTTTCTTGATTGAAATACTACTAGTTTCCAGGAGATACTGGCTGGAAAATCGCAGTCTACTGCACACCGAGCGCCTCATAAATCGCCGCCACCAATTTCCTCATCCGGTAGTTTCCTAGGCCCTTCCTTTCTACCTGCCCATTCCCACCCAAGCCCGCATTCTCCATCTTGTTCATGACATATCCAATCGTAACCTTCCTCTCCGCATCCGCAATGCCCTGACTGCCGCCCCAACCTCCCCAAGTCGCGACTTTGCCCTCTGGCAGATTCTCGTTCATCGAGCCCGCAGCAGGCAGCGCAAAACCAAGACCGAATCGCACCGGCATGCTGAGGACGAGATCGGTGCCGTGCTGTTGGGTGGTGAAAATTTGCTCCATGGTCTCTGGTGACAAAAACGACGATGGGTTCTCAGGCGCAGACAGGGAAACAGCAGAGAAGACGCGGACGAGAGCGCGGGCATTAGAAAACCCGTTTGAAGCTGCTAGCATGGATTTCCGACACAACTCTGTGTTTGCTACCGTTGCGTCCATACCGGGGTTCATGAGCAGCGTCCTAAAGGCGACACTGCTTGGATCTTTCATTGCGGCGGCCACGCTGGTCAGATCCGTGATTGGCGGCGGTGGCACGATTTCTGCGACCCTATCCCAATCTTTTTCCTGCGCTCCGAATTGAAAGTCTGCATTGAGCGGGGTGGTAATTTCGCGTTGGACGAATTCGTCGATGCGGAGATACGTGACCTTTTGGATCAAGCCGGCGATGAGGTGGCCCATGGTGAGGGCGTGATAGCCACTTGCAGTGCCGGGCTCCCACCATGGCGCCTGCTGAGCCAACAGGTTTGTGCTCTTTTCCAAATCGCATGTGTCTTCAAACGTGACGTTTTCGTGCCAGCCGCTCAGTCCCGTCGCATGGCTCAGCAAATGCCGCACCAAGACCCCTTCCTTCCCGTTGGCCGCAAACTCGGGCCAGTACTTTGATACTCTTTCGCTTGGGTCCACAAGCCCGCGGTCGATGCAGATGAGAAGGGCAAGGGCGGCGATAATTTTTGTACTCGACCATACGCATGTGATTGTGTCTTTTTCCCAGGGCTTAGTTCGCGCGGCGTCGGCGTAGCCGCCCCAGATATCAATCACATCAGTACCGTTGACGTTAACGCAGAGAGAAAACCCGAGTTCTTCCCCAGTGTTGAGGTAGGATTGTGCGAGCGACTTTACTTCGGAAAAGCGCGGATCGCAGGTACCGTGGACTTGGGCTGCCATTGTGCAATGTTGAAACAAGTGATAAACTGATTGAAGAGATAAACAAGAGAGACGCTGCTAAGGGCTTCGCTGCTGTACCTACTACCCTTTCACTTGTGAGTTGAGAGTACTCAGGAGCAAATGACATACTATATATACATCCTTCTCGTTTTTTCCCAAGATGCAGGTAAGCGGAGTTCCGCCAGCGGGATTCGGAGGCTTTCGATGCTGGAAGCCCGCTCCCAGTCAGGTTACGAAATTTATTCCAAACTCTAAACTCAGCCACTGGACTTATTGGCCATATGGCATTGGATAATAACATAAACTGCTATTGTGGTGCTCCTTGGGGGGTTTTTTTTACGACACCCTCCCCGCAGCTCGTCATCACACAGCACATCAACGTGCAAAAACAAACCAATCCGTCCGTCTCAAGCATACATCATATCAGTGCAATTCAAGAATGCTCGCTATTCAAGATTGCTACTCTTAGTATTATCACACTTTTTTTGGGTGCCGGCAGCCTTCGTAAAGCTACTGGAAGATTTTGTAAACAGAGCCCGTGTCCCGAGTACGTTCCACACCTCGCTTTCTGCATCTACACCAAGAATTCAATCGCTGAGACGTTACCTGAGTTTGCCCTGTACAACATCACGGATGACATCGAGGCGACGGATCCAGGTTCTTGGCTCACATACCGGGCATTGTATCAAGGCCTGTGCTGGCAGGAAACTACACTGAGATAATGGATCAGTGAGAACAAGCCGTGCTAGAAAGCTTGATATCTAAGGAGTTTACGCCTTCAAGTGCGGGTTTTCTCTAAGTTATAGATTCTGGTAACGACAGTCTTGTATTTACTCAAGTGCCTACACTAAGAGTTATAAAAGGAGAGTAGTCTTTCGCCATCGCGGAAAGCTTCTCTGTTCGAGATGAAAGAGCCAAGTAATTACATTTAGAGCTTAGTCTTAACCCAAGCACCGGCTTCGGTGGAGAAAACATTAAAGTAGCTAGTATGCGCGCTGGGGTCGCGGCCTCCAGCACACACATTGTCGCCGGAGAGACACCAAGCGCGGAGCACGTTGGAGAAGCGGTTGAGCGAGGTGAGTTGGCTGCCTGTGCGGGGGTTGATCTGTACATATGTGCGTTAGCAAATGCCCAAGAAGGGGGTATGTATACGCTATTGCTGAATAGCTTCTAGAAAGGTCCACTTACGCCGCTGAAGGCGGCACCAGATGCAGTGTTATATGATTGGTTTGCCGTGTGACGGACGTCACCCCAAAGAAGTGCGGCACTGACTGCGTGATAATTTCTCGTTAGCTGGCTGGGTTGATATCATAGAATTCAGATAACTCACTCTTGTTGCCGGGCGAAGTGGAAGGGTTTAGACCAGTGGTAGTGGGACTGGTGCATCCCAAGCCCGAGTTACCTCCACCTCCTCCGAGGATATCGCCTACGACGTGGGCACCCTAGGTGAAAGATCGAAGTCAGTACAGTCGTTGCCTTATTGAATTCAAAGTTGCTAGGTCACGGTGGCCATTTCTTCAAAGTCAAGCTAGCCATACGGTTGCCTATTAGTACCTATAAAAAGATCCACATACCTGCGAATATCCAGTAAGGACCAATTTCGCATTTGGGCAACGGCTCGCGTAAGCCGTGATCTGGGCAGTGCCGCCACTAACGCCAGCTGATACCGAGCTGCAGTACGTTGGGCTCATGCTGGCCGGGTAAGTGATGTCCTCGTAGCCGCAGTTGGTGATACCATTGCAGATGGCTGACACCACAGAGCTCTGGCGGCCGGGATACGGCTCGCTGGTGCCACGGGCAAGGAAGACGTGTACACTATGGCAGGCGGTCTGGCGCTCCTCGACCTTGACTGCCGGGGCAGCAAGTGCAAGGGAGAGAAGGCTGTAAGTAGCGAGGATAGTCTTGGTGAGCATTTTGTTGAAGATAGAAAGGGGCTTGCCTTGATTGACGACGAATGTGGGGAGGGCGAAGAGTTGAGTCGAACTGAGTTCGTCACCGAATTTGCTGCTGTTGATGTAGAGACAGCTGCGGAGTTATTTATACCATATTTCGTCCGACCACAGTCACCTCTTCTACTCCTGAAGTTAATTGCCGGCTTCCTCTAAATCGCAACATAACTGCCGATTTCTTAGTTTCTTGAACTATTGCTTCTCGGACGTAAGATTATATGGTGGTTGCATTTCAAGCGCGCTTAGAGAGATGAAAAGAGAAGTTGGGTAATGCAACCTAGCGTATTAGGCAGGACCGCAGTATCGACGGTCTTACCGATAATGAGGTTAGGTCAGTCGACCTTGTGCCTGGGAATGAGATGCACGAGCGTTGTAAAGTAGCCAGGCTCCCTAAGGGGGGTGTAGCCCCACTCTTGGGTTGTGGGTACCCCGGGGTAGTGCATGAGGCAGAGATACACTTGCGAGATGAGAGTCTCTCGCTCTTTTGCAAGTACCATGCTTCGTAGAAGTCCGGATTAACCAGGATGACTGGAAGGACTTGAGGCGCAATTGGACGGATAATACTCTACCGGGTGGGGATACATGATCAAGAACGGAGTACGAAACAGGGTGTTAGCAACAGCAATTCGAATGGCCGGCAGTCCAAATAGGCTCACGTACGTACTAACAACTGGGTATGGTGACACTAGCTTCGATTAGGTATGTGAACCTACGAACTGCCGTAATTGGCGAGCATGCACGTCATGGTCCAATCCTAAGACTGGCCTCGTGTCGATCTTTGAGTCTAATCCAGGTTCCACCCCCCGGGATTTGGTCACAGGTTTAACCGAAGTTTTGCCCCAAGTACGTACAGATACGAGGCTTTACCGAGGTTTGTTAATGACCCCAGATTTTCCCCTCAATGAAATATATCATATAACTTCGCTTCGAACTTCGTTTTTCGCACGTGTTAGGCTTCCTGCCCCCAGCGTGCCCCTCACTTTTATTCTCTATAAATACTAAAATGGCCTGAGGGGAAACTCTTCAAGAGGTGGAGGAAATGCTTTTCCGGCCTCGTATAATCATCAACGCAGATGCGTCGATTGGTTTCTCCGCTTCTTCTGTTTCTACATGCTCACTCTTGGGAACGCCAGTATGCTCTGTTGGACTTCTATGATGGCTCTCAAACTACAAACTATCAATTGGTTTCAAGGATGAGTGAGACGGATGTGCGAGTAGATCCAGAGCATGCTTCTACTTCATGTCATAGGCTTGATTATCGTGCTCCAATCATTCTCCAATATCTGATTTGTCCTGTCATGCCACTTATCTGAAAGAATGAAGAGAAACTATTTGAATGATATTTCCAAAGAAAGCAGATAGGGGAAAGATGGTTCGTCCGGGCTTGATTGCCGTAGACATGTCTCACGCAGGCTTCCAACCGCTGCATGAAAAAGGCTTAGACGCATATGAGCGCATCAAGTTAATTGCTAAAAGTGGCATTTGACAGCAAAATGGCATATCATCTCCCGTAATCGCCAGTCGATTTTTGAATGTCTAGAACCAATGGTTGTCACTTTGAGAGGATCGAACTTGCTTTTTTATCTTACTCAGCTCTCCTAACCCGAGCTTCAACTTGACGCACAACTTCATAAGGGGAAACATCTACTTTACACATCTTCTAACCCACTAAAGCTCTAGAACCTAGGAGATATTGGAGCCAAATCAATTCCCCCTACAGAGGTGACTATCACCTCCCTCTTCCTCCCCTCAATCCCAACCCAAGCCCCTTACTTCAAAAACTTATTAATCAGCCCCTTCCCCCCCTTAACGAGATTCTTCACCTCCCTCTTCAAATCCTCTGTCGAATGTCCCCCCTGCCTCCCCGGTTCCATAAACCCCCCTCCAGCACCTCCCTCACCCCCACAATGACCCTGCCCACCACACGTACCCCCGGGACACCCTTGAATAAAATGCTGAACCTCACCACAACACCTCCCACACTCCCCCGAACCCATAAAAGGGCCCCCATTCCCCCATCCAACACGCATAACCCGCGCTTTCCTCCCTTCCCACCCCGTCTTCGCATCCGTAGCATGAAACACGCCCCAGACCTCGGGTCCCCCAGGTCCGTTTACTAGTACGAAATTCCCGTGACCAGGTCCATACGGCGGCGAGTCATCGCGCGCAGCTTTAAGCAGGGGAACATTTGATTTGGCCCACGACTGGGGGTCTAGCGGGTGGCCTCCCGTGTAGTACAGGACATTCATTTTGTACTCGTGCGTCCAGCTGCCCGCGCAACTATACACGATGCCCATCCAGCGTCCATCGGGTGAAGCCAGAAACTGGGGGCCCTCATTGATGCCGCTGTTGCCGGAGAATTCGAATGGGAGGTCGGGGGTGGAGATGCGGATGGGGTGGCCGGTGCATTCGGTGGGAGATACCATTTCGATGATGAAGATTTCCTGGCGGGACTCGTCGGCTTGGGTACCGAGGGGCCAACCGGAGTAGACGAAGAGCATGGAGCCGTGCAGGTAAATGACGGTGCCGTCAATGGCCCATTGGTGTTCGGGGAGGCCTGCGAGACGGCCGAAGAAATTCCACTTGCTGGGTTCGAGAGGATCCTCGTCGGAGGGGGGGCCCGCGAGAACGAACATGCGGTGCGACTTGTTACCGTGCTTTGGGTCGTCGGCAGCGAAGTAGACGTACCAGCGACCTTGGATGGAATGCAGTTCTGGCGCCCAGATATCACCGGAGTAGGGCTGGTTGGGAGGAGGCCGCCATATGACGGTCTTTTTGGAGCGCTCTTCGAAATCGAATAGCGAATCTGCGGACCATATCTCAACGTGGCCACCACAGGTAAAGGTCATGTAGTAAGTGCCCTTGTCCCATAGTACATAAGGATCAGCGCAGCTTCTCTTTGTGATTGTGAGTATGGAGTCGTTGTACGGTGGTCGTTGTCCCTGGTAGATGGGTTGCATTTGCTGAGCCATGTTGGTGGTATCGAGCTGCAATGTCGAATGCTCAGATCAATACTACAGTCTTCTGATAATGGGAAGCAAAGAACACATGACAATGATAATCACAACAGACAGTCATTAGCACCAAGAGGCTAACATGTCACACGCGTAACATCTGTGTGATGACGTCACTTCGGGCCTTCGTCGTCTTGGATTGCAAGCCAAGTATCAGACAACTTCACCCCATCCGGGCTGTCATGAGGACGGTGTAGCCACAAGTAGTTTAGAATTCTTCGGTCTAGATGCCTCACGCGAAAGAAAAAGCAGGGTCCCCTCTACCGGTGTGTGGCGTTGTGATGTATGGCGGGGTAGAAAAGCCACGCGGTGCTCAGCCACGTTCTTAATCTTATGACCCCCCACTTGTTTCTCCATCACGCCATGATTATTAGAAAAAAGAACATGCAATTAATAAAAAAAAAGAACCTCGTTCTGATTACTCCATATGATACAAGCTTTCCCAGCTTGACCCGTTCTTCCATCGTGGTATCCCTTTCCCAAGCCCCTTTTCGAGTCCTTCTCATTATGTAGAATACATGTCCCTCTTATCCTTACGGCGACGGCGCGAACATCCCATTGCACAGCACAGCTATGCAGCAAAGTAGAAAATCAGGGGAGGAAAGAAAAGGTATCCAGAAGTTGGAGCGAAGACTAAATACATAGTGTTGCCCTTGGAGAAAGAAAAGGAACTCAATACCATGCCACGCTACCCATGCGTCACGCACAGCCAGTTGAAAATACTTATTGGTGTACAACATACACCGGCGATGGCCAGTTTTGATTGCGAGTGCGCGGCATCGCATTAAAAGTTCATGTGTACTTATTTCGGTGATTGGCTACTACAACTCAGTAGTAAGATTTTGCTCGACAGTGAGTTCACCCGATTCGATGCGGTCGACACGGAGTACGAGTTCCTATTTCATGATCAGTATATGTACAATCATCATATTGCTCACAAAAGACGAACCTTGAGAGCCCTTGCAGTCCTGAACGCAAGGGGTGGGATCTTCTCGCGGCCTCCGCCTCTAAAGTCAACGGCCAGCATGCTTTGTCTGCACTCATCAAGGACTTGAACCACGGGAATGGCGTGCTTCTTCAGAGCGGAATTGGATAGCTGATTGACGGCATCGTAGGTTTTGTTTCCAGTGTCATCGACTGCCTGTGAAATATCTTGAATGTATTCGTGTATTTGTTGATCATCGGCAGGCGACCCGTCTGGGTTGTTGCGTATGAGAGTGACAAGAGGCTGGATGCTCTGGACAAGAAGAGCCGTTTGATCTTCAAGATAGTTCTGCGAGCGTCAGTAGGTCGTGGCTACCCATGCTGACTAGGAATGTACCTTGAACTCGAGCATGCCGCCGTCGGGTGCGCCGTTCCCGCTATGACCATCGTAACCGCTATAAGGCGAGCTATATGTGCTGTAGCGAGTAGTGTCGCTGCTACCACCTCTGCTGCTGCCACCTCGCTGATGGCCAGACTTCATCGTAGCTCCACCATTCGTGGGTGCAGCGTTGTTTGAGTACACGGCCGGTTTGAGTGGCATAGGCCTATCAACGTCCTCATCGTCGGCCTCGAGCTCGTCTTCTGGTGTAGGTCGCACCTTGACGTGTTTGACCAACTCGACAACAGCAGTGGACAGATGACTAGCAGCAGCATCTAGTAGACTGACTGGTGAGAGTCCACCAGAAGCCACATGATTCTTGGTGGCCGTGATGAGATTGTTGGCCGTAGCGCTGACACGCGACTTTAGCTTTGCCTGTTGCTTCTCTGGATTCGCCAACATGTCGCCGCTCACACTGCTTGTGGGTGATTGGATTTGCGAAAGCGATGTGTTATCAATATCGCCCGTGATTGCTCGGACACACTTGACAACATGGCGCATGCCTTCAAGAGTCTGTTCCGAATTGGCTCTCCTTGCCATCTGAAGCAGCTCATCAATACTGAGCTGGAACTTGGTTACATGTACATCTTTAACGACTCCATCGGGCGAGGTAAAGGAAGAGTCGCGGGCGTAGCCACCTAGGTCGGCTGCTACAAGTTGGGACAAGCCCATGGACGATGCTTTGAGGTTTCGAAGCTGCGTCTTGGTACGCGCGTATCGTGATTTCCAGTCCTTTAGCTCAGCCTCGAGTGACCGAACTTGATTGGCCATTTGTTCCTCTTTTTCTGCGGCCGCATCACTACGAGCTGACAGCTCCTTCATTTCCTGCAGGAACATGGACGCATCTCTTCGGACCTCTTCTGTCACTTGTTGTTGCTCACTCAGCTCTCGTTCAAGCTCTTCACACCGTTGTCTCCACTCGCCGTCGCCGTTATCCGCCGCTTGTGGAGGTGGTCTCGATTCGAGGTTGGCAATCTGTGCGCGAAGGTTCTTTTCAATGTCTTCATTCTCACTGCGCAACCTGTCTATCTCCGATCGGAGAGACGAGTTGAGGCTCTCTGCATCTTCGACTTTCTGCTCCAACGACGAGCGAAGATCATCCCACTCTGCACGGTCAGTCTCCGAGGCACCGACCTGCGTTTTGCCAGCCTGTTCAAGGCGCTCTAGCTCTTCGTCCTTGTTTCGTATTGTAGCCTCCAAGGTACCAATCTTGCCCTGCAGTTCCGACACCTGATTCTGGAGGTCTTCCACTATTTTTTCCTGGGCCATGTTTATACTCTTTGCGCTCTTGCTTGTTTGCCGTCTAGTAGCAGCGCCCTCGAGATTGAAGGAATCGTCGTCATCTGCACCACTGTCATCGTCATCTTCAACCAGAGTTCCCTTGTTCGGGACAATCGTATTTGACTGGAACGTTTTGGGCAATGGACGCCCAAAGGAGCCTGGCTCATTTCCCGAGCCGGGCCGCATTTGTCCCGGCGGTCCTGGAGGTCCTCCTGGAGGTCCACCCATTGGACCACCCATTGGACCACCCATTGGACCACCCATTGGCCCACCCATTGGCCCGCCCATGGGAGGCGGTCCTCGATAGCCTGGCCCAGGCGGAGGACGGCCGCCCATGCTATTTGGTGTGCCTGCTCTGCTCGATGGCCCTCTGTTGCTCATGCGACTCTGGACGCTCATGGCTGGGCTGGATGGGCGCGGTGGCATCTCGCCTCCAGTGAAGCGGGGAAATCTGCGCTCGAGCTCGTAGAAGACGTCGGTAGCAAGCTGGCGAAAGCGCTCGAGGGGTAGCGTGGATAGCTTCTGTCGCGCCTGGTTGCGCTTGGGGTGGAAGCTGTTCTTGGGGAGGAGGAATTGCGGAGTATCGTTTCCAGGCGCACCCGGCCCTCCGCGCTTGCGATCCTGTTCTCTGCGTATTGACTCGTCGTAAACATCGGTGCTAAGTTCCTGGAACTGGACGGCCGACAGCCTGGTCAGCTTGTCCTTTGCCCTGCTTGGCCGTGGGTTTCCCTTTTCGTCGTTGAGGTAGGGGCCGAGATAGGCCTTGAGGACGTGAAAATGATCGGCCATGGTCTCCTCGAGGGCTTGCATCTTCCGGCTGTCCATCATGGGTCGCATGCTGTCGTTGAGGCTCGAGGCGTACAAGCCAGTGCCGTCGCTTGAGCGCCCAACAGAGCTGGGCGGTGAGGGGTTTCCATTGCTGGTGCCGGGGCGCATTCCATTCGACATGCCGCCATCAGGGTTGCTTGGGCCGTAGGTGTTGGGTGGAATTGTGGGTGAGTAGGGGTTGTCGCCTGCGATGTTCCGGTACCCGTTGATGGGGGACCACTCTTGGCCGTCGGTTGACAGCGGTGACAGGGTGCCACTGCGGGCGTTCATAGTGTTCATCGGGGGCGGCGTCGCACGTGAGACGGCGGGGGCTGACAGCCGTTGGCTAGTGTCGTATCCGTATCGACGGTCCAAAGGCGGTAAAAAAATAAAGAGGGAGAGAGCCGGAGTGGCTGGCGAAGGAGGGTGCAGGTGCAGCTGAAACGGTAGGTGTGGTAGTAGACGAGAGACGCCGAGGAGGGCAACGAGCGACGATCAGCAAGACAGTAATTAGTAGGCAGTAGGCAGTAGATGCAGCAAGGACAAGACGTAAAGTGGGCGGTGGGGGGGGCCAGGCGGTCAAGCGGCCAAAGGGAATGTGAGAAGCACGCCGGGTAAAGATCAAAAGAGGGAGAGAGATGGCGACGACGCAGACGACGCAAATGCAAGCAGCGGCAACAACAAAGCGCACGGCAGCACGAGCATGTGCGAGGCCAACCAGCCGGGGGGGCCCACCAGACTTATGAGGCTGGCCTGGTGCAGTGACAATCCAATGCAAATGTCGGCCATGGTGCCCCTTTCGTGCCCGCGGCTTGGCTGTGAAGGGGGAGCGTCGGGCCAGTCAAGGCCCAGGCAGAGGCCAGCAAAGGCCCAGCCACACACCCCGCCGGCGAATCAGAGCCTGTCAGGCCCATGACGCCACTGCTCTCGTCCCCCCGCGCCACACCCCCGGCCAGCCACGCCAGCGGGAGGCGCGCGTCTATATTACATGGTCTGCTATTATGCTGTCTACTTGGCTCCTTACATACTTACTACCAGTAGTTATGCACCTGGCACATCCTCTTCGCCTTATCGCCCGCTCTGCGGCACATGCATACATACCTGCTACTACATACACATACCACCACAGGAACCCGCTCCACCAGCCCGGTGCCTGGACACGCCCACTCCCACGCCCACTCCCACTCCCACTCCCGCTCCAGCGGCTGCGCCCTCCTGTCCATTGCACGATCAGCAGCACCAGCGTGTTCGTCCGCTGGGCCTGGCCTGGCCCGGTGATCACGGCCCCCTGTCGCGAGCCCGAGTGGAGACTGCCCCAATTTCCCTTCGTACCTACGGGGGGAACACCGCAGCCTGCAATCGCATGGGGGGTAGCAACCATCCGAGTACTTACATACTTATGTACTCTCTATCCACATGACCACCACCAACCACTCCGGCCACAGGGCCACGCGCCCGTGGCTCCCCAATACTCGCAGCATCAACGCCTCTCCCGCACGCCCTGGCGGCTGCATGGCTCTATCGATTGCCTTGTGCCTGTGCCTGCACCCCATCCCACATGGCCCCAGTTCTTAGCCGTTGCCAATCTCGATTCTAGCCCCTTTCAACGTGCTCTCTTGATCTTCGTCGGTGCTTGGTTCCGACACTCGGGACACAGCCAGTCCCCCAGCGGCTCCTCCTTGATGCCCACGCACTCCCAGTGAAACCATTGATATCTGCAATTGTCGTTGTCGCACGCCACCATGTCCCCAAAGCTGACCCGCTGGCATGTGCAGTACTTGGTGTCGTCCGACTCGTCTTCCTCTGCATCCCCACCTCCCATGCCTCCCATGTCCTCGTCTTCGGTCCCTGCTTCGCTCGCTACGCTCTCGTCGTCTGCAGTCGTAGACGGTGACGCTCGGGACCCGCCCTTGCGACGCTTCTTGTTAACACCAGACTTTGCTGTAAGTGCGGCTTTGCGCAGCGGTTGCTGTGGCTTTGCCTTCTTCACTGTGAGTGCATGTTTCGGTGGTCTCGGTCCAACGCTACCTGCCCGAGAGCCTGGTGTCGACGGTTTAGGGGTACCTGGCCCGATTGATCCTTGCCGGCCCAAACTCGACGCCGCGGAGGGCAAGGGACCAATACTGCCTGTTGGACGCCGACGCTTAGTATCGCTGCCCACCGACACTTCTCGCTCTTGTCGGGCGCTGGCCTGAATAGCACTTTGAGCGTTGGTGAGCCGTTGCTGGTTCAGGAGTGCCTGCGTCTGCATGTTCTGCAGCGAAGGATTCGTCCGCGAACTGAGCCCTACGTTGGTCGCGCTGCTCAGTCGCGCAATGGCAGCTGCTTGCGCAAGATTTGGCGCACCCCCTCCGTGGTTGCCCGACACAGGTAGCAATGGCGTGTTGGCCCCTGTGTTAGTCACTGAGGCTGGTGGGACCAGATTTCCAGGAGAGTCTCTCAACAGTGAGGGCATCTGAGGATCTGTAGGTATCGAGCCATCATTTTGCAAATCTCGTAGCTTGATATCTAGACGTTTGACGTGGCGGTCCAACTGTTTTCTTGTAAGTAAACCCGCAGCCATGTAGGGGCCAAGAACCTACAAGAGCCGCGGCTTTTTCAACCAGCCCAATCTTCTCCTCTTGCAGTATCTGCGCTTTTTCGTAGCTGGCAGTAATGACTTTGGAATAACCCGCCTCTTTTGGATTTTCCACCAAGCTGCCATTTAGCTTGATGAATTTCTGAATGCTGCTATCACGCTGATGTATCGCAGCGCGCAGCTCCTGGATTTGATTGTCCTTGGCCTGTACCTCTTCGTACAGGTGGGTAATCTCAGCTGGCAAATTTGCGACTATGCATCGTTAGCAGGCGTCGCGCTTCATTTTTGCATGCAGTTGAAGTTACCATCATGTACAAACTGCTCGAGCACGGTCGCTGCATCCTCTGCGATGGCCATGATAGATGTTTGGAGATGTGGTGCGGCTGGGGACGCGTTTGTTGGGTGGCAAGAGGAACCTGCGAGGCGACAGTATGCGACGCACTCGGGGCCTCGAGGAGAGTTCAAACGGGTCAAGAAAAGCCAGATGCGTCTATTGCGACGGTGACCTCGATGAAAATTGATGAGGCGTGGGTGGCCGCGCAGGTGAAAGAGCCACAGGTGCGATGAAAGTGAAAATCGCCGAATACAAAAACCAACAGCTGTTGTCTTAACCCTCTCACACAATATCCAAAGTTCACTCAAGTTGGTCAGCCTTTGCACACGATTATTTTTCAAATATCGTAAGTCGAGCGGATTGTCATGTGCTATCGCAGTCGTTGGCGTGGGTTGGATGAACAGGCACAGCTAGCTGACAAAGAGGCTAGGTTCAGCCGGGCGCTCGGCAGGATGCAGCAGTACGGCCAATCAGACAACAGCGCCGAAGACGATCCGGTCCTTTCGTCAACGGATAGTGAAGATGGCGACGACGACACCTACGACAACGACCACGACGATAACAGCAACCAAGACAGCGACTACATCCCAGAAAAAGATAGTCCATCATACACCAGCTCGGCATTCACCACAAATTCTGTTGATCCAACGCTCCAAACACTTTTAAACGGGCCACAGTGGCAACTGGCCAACCCTTGGGCGCGGCGTGCAGCAAGAGTAGACTACCGTCTGAAGAAGCCTAGGAAACTAATAACAACAGGCACAGCTAAGAAACAGAAGCGAAAATTCAGTGTAAGTAGGTTTTTTGCTAGTATTGCTTCTAGGACAGTCTCATGGAGCTTCGGTTATGTTTCAAGCTGCATGACTTCGGGCGCATGCTGACAATCGCAGGAAAGTGCAGCTGACAGTAGTCTGGTACTGTTCCCTCTTCATGACCCTCAGACCAGTTCAGCCGAGGAAAATTCAGCAAAGCGTCTTCCTCCTAGCCCTCAGACTCTAGCACGCTGGGGAAAGCGCCGGGCGGAAGAAAACAAGTCGCGTTCATTAACTAACAGCACATTCATCGGGACACAGGACGACTGCAACCGTTGGATCTGGGAGGGTGCTCCGAAACCACGCATCATAGCTGAATTTGACCACACTATCCTTGGCAGTGCATCTGAATCATCAAGCAATATGCGGACTCCAGGCTACATCCCGTCCAACGGACCTGCCAACAACATCGTGCAGGAATATCTATCTCCAGATGATGCCTACCCAGCAAGCTTCCAGGACTTCAAGGCGATGACAGATGCTGAGAAAATTGAGGTAATCGCTCGTGAGGCCGAAGAGCATGGGCTGGAACGACCCAAAGGATGGAATGTCTCGTTTCACTACAACCCACATGTCGAGTATCATCACTTTGGCAGCTCGCATCCCATGAAACCATGGCGGTTGACGCTCACCAAACAACTTGTACTTGCATATGGACTAGAGTACACAATGGATCTTTTCGAGCCACGGCCAGCAAACTTTAACGAGCTAGCCATTTTCCACGACCGCGAGTATCTATCGTACCTCAGCAAGATTACCCCGCAGAATGCACAGCCCGATGACCCGCAGTACATTACGTATGGATTTGGTGGAGAGTCAAATGATTGTCCAGTGTTTGATGGCCTCTGGAACTACGTGTCCCTCTACACTGGTGCTACCTGCAGCGCAACCTGGAATCTGCTCAACAGCCGGTCTGACATTGCCATTAATTGGTCAGGCGGGCTGCATCATGCCAAGAAGAATCTGGCCTCTGGGTTCTGTTATGTCAACGATATCGTCATAGCCATCCAACTACTACTATCACATCACCAGCGGGTGCTATATATTGACATTGATGTTCACCATGGCGATGGTGTGGAACAGGCATTCGAGTCAACCGACAGAGTGTTCACACTCTCATATCACAAGTATGGCATTGATAAGCACGGTTATCCGTTCTTCCCAGGCACGGGGAACATTGACGAGACGGGCCCGACCGACGCCCGAAACCCCGGCAAGGCTCATAGCCTGAACATTCCGATTGATGACGGCATCGATGATGAGCAGTACAAGTGGCTGTTCAAGACTGTTACGAGCGCAGTAATTGAAAAGTACAACCCAACAGCAATTGTGTTGCAATCCGGTGCCGACTCTCTGGGCGGAGATCGACTTGGCCGATTCAATCTCAATATCAAAGCCCATGGCTTCTGCGTGGAGACGGTCAAGGCATACGGCCGCCCGTTGCTCATCATAGGCGGGGGTGGGTATACGCCACGCAACGTCGCTCGGACATGGTGTCATGAAACTTCGGTGTGCGTTGGTGCACAATTGCACAACGAGCTTCCAGCCCACGTGCCATACCTGCAAGCATTCCAGGGAGCAGAAAACGGCGATGGAGTGCTATATCCAGACCTACACAACATCAAAAGACACGAGAATCTCAACTCTCAGGCCAAGCTGCACAAGCTTATTGAGCAAGCGCTTGAGAACCTGAGATACTTAGAAGGAGCGCCTAGCGTGACGGTGGACACGCGAGGGATTTCTCTCGAGGAGATTATGAAGGTCCGGGAGATGATTGACCAGGAGTTGGAGGATGAGGCAGAAGATCGGGCGAGGCTGACTGTGGAGAACAGCAGGCGGAAGAAGGAGAGGAACGTGGGGGGTCGAAACGAGCGGAGGTAGGAGCACATGATCGGACTATTGTTCGGGGAATGGCAGTAGACGAATGTCTTGCAACAAGGTTTTGGCGGGGGAGAGTCTTTTTTAGGTAAAGACTAGAGCTTGGAAAGAGGGCACAGCTAAGTATATGACAGAGCTAGTCATGTAGCACGGCTGGGTGTTTATAGCGATTTTACAATTGGCCAGAGTTTATTGTTGATGACTGCATCTGAAGCCGTCATGGTGAAGGGGGATGGTGTTGATGGATAGGGTGCCAGTGGAGAGATTCGTATTATCCGGGTCATGGGATTGAGCGTGAGTATGCGTCATTGTTCAGAGGGCGCCAATCACGGCGGCTCGCCGGGCAGTGCATGGATGTCCATGTACGGGAGTAGGTCAGTAGATAGCATGGCATGTATATAAGTAGATGGTTGGAAGCAGAGAAGAGATAGGCACGTGGTGGTGAGCCTGGCCTGGACACAGGTCGGAGTCTGATGTTTACTCAGCTCCGACGGGCGACTAGGACAGGGGGTGGTGCCGCCAAAAGTACGGCCGCAAGCAGTCCGGGCGTGTGCATGTCAGAAGCCTCGGGCAGTGCACAAAGGGCGGCGTCTGTCTAGGTCGACATCCAACTTCGAACCCCGAAGCTCGATACTTGGACATGAGTACAATGTCCGACGAGAGACGCCTCAGCCAGGACTCGCCCAATCCAAGCCAGCCAAGCCGCACTGCCAGCGGCCCCTCTCCCGGCACCGCTCCGACACCCACACCAAACCCCCGGTCGTGCATTACCTGCCGTAGGCGCAAGGTCAAATGTGACAAGAAGAACCCGTGCTCCCATTGTGTGCGCGCCAAAATCGACTGTGTCTTCCCAGGCCCCGGCCGTGCCCCGAGAAAGAGCAGGAAACCCCCCGATGCTGAGCTACTCGAGAGACTGCGCCGCCTCGAGGGCGTAGTCACCAGCCTTAATGCCCAAGTCGAGGGCCACGACAGTAACAGCAGTACCAACAACAACGACGATGCCGCCGACCGCCAGAGAGAGCCAACCACCGCCGCAGCAGCCCAGGGTCAGTGCCCGCTGGGATCCACGAGGACCTCGACCCCGCCCAAGGATACCAGCCTCCAGGGCCTCGAGGCGCGCTTTGGACGGCTCGTCGTCGAGAATGGCCGTAGTCGCTACATCAACAACAGCTTCTGGGCCAGTCTGAACAATGAGGTACGCGAGCACGCTTTGTTTTTATTATATACTTGTTTCACTTTCTCTTCCTCACCAGCTAACACAACACTTACTTCCAGGTCGAGAATCTCAAGTCCATCCTCATGGAAACCTCGGACGACGAAGACGATGCCCATACACCCGAATCCTCGGAACCTTCGTCGCAATACCACAGTTTCATCTTCGGCTACAGCTCTTCCAATGTCGACATGCAAGCCCTGCATCCCCCCGAACACCAGGCCGGCCAGTTCTGGAACATCTACAAAGAAAACGTGGAACCCCTGGTCAAGGTTTTGCACGTCCCTACATTTGAGCCCACTATCCTGAACGCCGCTGCCAGTATTGAAAAGGTCAGCAAAGGGCTCGAGGCTTGGTTGTTTGTCATCTACTATGGTGCTGTGACCAGCATCACTCCCGTAGAATGTCGCGACAAGTTTGGAGAGGAGCGAGGCACGCTTCTGACCAGGTTCCGCTTCGGCATCGAGCAGGCTCTTGCAAGAGCCAACTTCCTCTACTGCGACGAGATTCTCATCCTTCAGGCCTTTGTCGTCTACCTTGTCTTGCTACGCCGCAACGACGATGCACGCAAAATCTGGACATTGACTGGTCTCGTCGTTCGCATCGCCCAAACCCTGGGCATCCACCGAGACGGCACCCACTTTGACCTGCCGCCCTTTGAGGTTGAGATGCGAAGGCGGCTCTGGTGGCAAGTCTGCATACTCGACGCCAGATCTGCTGAAGATCAGGGGTGTGACCCCAGCATCCATGAAGCGCTATTCGACACAAAAATGGTGAGTTTAGTCTGGTTCCAAGTGCCACACATACATAGCTGCTAACCATTGTCGCAGCCTCTGAATATTAACGACAGTGATCTCCGCCCTGAAATGACTGAATTCCCTCAGGGCCGGCAAGGCTTCACCGACATGACGTTTTGCTTACTCCGCTTCGAGATTGCAACCATAATGCGCCGCATCATCTACATACCTCCAGGCCCAAACAGGTGTACTCAGTTCTTTACAAACCTCACTGTAGAGCAGAAAGAAAAATGGATAACCAACTGCCACCAGGCCATAGAGGAAAAATACCTCAAGGATTGCGACATGACCATACCGTTATGCTGGGTCACGGCGACAGTATCAAGACTCATAATGAGTAAAATGTGGCTGATTGTCTACCACCCGCATCAGCGCAAAGATGGAGGTGCTACGTTATCACAAGAGACCAGAGACAAGCTCTTCGTCACCTCTCTCGAAAACATAGAATACGGCCTACTACTCGAGACGGAAGCACGCACAATGAAATGGGGCTGGCTCTTCAAAACCTATGTCCAATGGCATGCCATTGCATTCTTGCTCTCGGAACTTTGCGTGCGTACCAAAGGGGAGGCCGTAGACCGTGCATGGAGAGCACTGGAAACTTGTGCTAACCGGTGGTGGTTCCCTTTTTCCGATGACGAGCCAGAGCGCAAAGCCCACCATGGCCATATATGGAAGCCACTCGCCAAGTTGCTGGCCAAGGCAAGATTAGCCCGTGAGCGCGAACTAGCCCTTGAGCAAGCCATTTCATCCTTCCAAAATAGACAATTTACAAGCGACACATTCGACTTGAAGTCTTCCGAGGCTCTGCAACAGACGGATAGCACTTCTTTTACATCCCCTCAACAAAACTCACAGGCTCTAGACAACATGCTCCGGCCCGTTGCACCCAAACTTGGCGCCATACCTGGGACTCAGCAGCCCAGCTGGCCCAGTGGTATGGGTATGCAGCGTCCTTTACCAGACGGACTGGCGACAGGATTTCCAGATGTTGTACAAGATCTAAGCAATTCAGCACAAGCATTTAGAAGCATCTCAGGATATGGTCTCGACGACATTATCAGCGACGTCATGGCAGGTGCGCCGCTAGATTTCCCGAGTTACGTTCAAAGTACGGCATCTACGTCTGGAGCTGCGCATCCGAATCTCTCCCAAACTTCTCAGCCCTTGTCAGCCGCTGAAGTGCTTTCTACAAACGCGCCAACCGCGGCGAATGGATATCCTACCTTTGGTGAGGGGATGCTCCCAAACACGACCATGGGCTTCGACATCAATAGTACCGGAGGCCAAGGCATGACAAGTACGCGTGGAGCTACAAATGGGCAAGAGATGAACGGAAATGACATCATGGACAATGGTGACATGGACTGGCCTCTTTGGGATGACATGGTAAACCAACTTGGGGCCGATAGCCATCTGGCTAATCCTTCAAATAGGGCTGGGCCGGGAACACTGCACATGGTGCCATGGTTTTGAGAGTCTTATGATATTATGATCATGTTTCGGCGTTTGGAGGATCTACGCTCCATCTTTGTAGTGGATGAATGCGGTGCTGATTGTTTGTATACCCTCTTTCGTTACAGTGCGTGTTGTGTGTATGTAGTATTATTATAACATGCAGGATTCTGAATTGAACATTTTATACTATTTTTGTCAACCTTGGTACCTGGTGTATAGGTTGCACTGCTACGGAAAGACATTAACGGACGAAGAAGCGCTCTTTCCTCATGGGTCTTAATAGGATGATGCGGTCTGCCTGCATTGCGATAGCGACATGTGCATTTAAGATAAAACTTACACAGACTACACACACATCAAACACCCCCACCTACCTACCGCCAAGCCCACGCATACTCAATTCCAACGAACTCTCACCGTGCAACAACCCACGTGCACGCAGTGCAAGCCTACGCGTCTTATCACCGTCACTCTACCTCTGCTAACGTAATTGACAAGGGAGCCGGGTCTAACTACGTACCCTCTTTTTTTTGTTGCCCCACGCCCCGTCAAGACAAATGCATTGCCACGCAGCACGTTCCCGTGCATCCCCCGCGCGAGCCCGGGATCCTTGTCCGGGTGTGTTAAAAGAGCCCACATGACCAAGTACCGTCCTCAACATATCTGCGGGACGGAGGAAGTGCTGGAAACCAAAGTCAATCAACAAGTTATATATGTATACCATTCACTCAACAGTTTCTTATCTCTACAGGCTTGATTGCGGGGGAATAAAGAGGAATAAGAGCATAGGAACTTTTTGAGGGGCAAACACAATGGCGTTGCAAACACAGGACACAGGCGTCGTCGCTGCAAAACCCACAATCTTACATCTTGGTGACGACATACGCTGGAATCATGAACTCTACGGCGAGTTGCAGGCCAAGTTCAATATCGTGCGGACGTATTCGATGAGCCGCGAGGAGTTTAAGCAGGCGCTGAGGGAGAAGCGGTGGGGGGATTTTGTAGGGATGTACCGACCGTTTTGGAATACTGGGGGGGAAATGGGGAATTGGGATGAGGAGTTGATGTAAGTTTCGGACATTGTTCTACTACAATTCTCCAAATCTCCTTTATCTTTCATACCAGAAGATACAAGCCAGAGAGATAAATTCCACTACTAACAGTCCACACAGCTCCCTCCTCCCCGCCTCGTGCAAAATCTACGCCTCCGCCGGCGCAGGCTTCGACTGGGTCGACACGCGCACCCTCGCCCTCCACGGCACCATCTACTGCAACTCGGCCTCGGCCTGCACCGAATCCGTCGCCGACGCCGCCATCGTACTAATCCTCTCCTGCTACCGCGCAATCACGTGGTCCTTCCTCGCTGCGCGCTCCCTCTCCCCCGACCAATTTCACGATGCAAACCGCAACATCGCCGCCGTAACACACAACCCCAATCACAGCGTTCTCGGCATCATCGGACTGGGCCGCATCGGCATGCGGATCGCGGAGAAGGCGACACGAGGGTTCGAAATGCGGATTGCGTACTACGATGTTGTGAGGCAGGATGCCGAGCGAGAAAAGAGTGTGGGAGCGACGTATTGTGCGTCGCTGGAGGAGTTGCTGGGCATGGCGGACTGCGTGGTGCTGGCTACGCCGTTTGAAGGCGAAGTACTACTTTCCACACCCCAGTTTAATCAGTTTAAGAAAGGGGCGCACCTGGTGAATATTGCGAGGGGGAAGTTGGTGGATGAGGAGGCGCTGAATAGGGCGTTGGATGAGGGGAGGGTGGGGGCCGCGGGACTCGATGTCCATGCGGATGAGCCGCGGGTGAATCAGAGGTTGGCGACAAGGAATAATGTTATGGTGCTGAGTCATACGGCAGGAGCCAGTGTGGAGAGTCATATTGGGTTTGAGCGGTTGGGTATGGAGAATCTGCTAGGGTGGTTGAGAGAGGGGGAGAAGGGATGTGTTAGTGCGGTTAATCTGCAGTGGTTGAAGAGGGAGTGATGGATGGAAAGTCTTGGGGTTTGAATATGTGAGTAGGAGAAGTCGATAAAATACACGTACAGCATTCTTTTTTTTTTAGAAGTCCAATCATGATTAGATGATTTTATAGTACCAAGCAGACAAATACAATCAGCCAAGAACAATCTCTGATCCAAGAAAATTTATACATTTTTACAATATTTACATATATATATATATGCACTGAATAACTTCCTGTAATCTCAAGCTACGCTTCAACAATTTCCTTCCTTTCAACTCCATCATCCTTCTCAACCCGATCATGCATCTTCCTAGCAACTTCGTCGGTAAGATATTGCTCTACATTTGGCGACAACAGTGCTGCAACAATAAGCAGCGCTCCAAACGGTAGCGTACAAAGATACACCGTTCGGAACGAAAGTGCATAAGCATCTTTGACGGCTTTTCCGGTTGCAGCAATAATGTCTGGTGTAATGCCAGGCACAGCTGAGAAATCTCCCAGTGTGATACTTGAAAGTAAAGACTCTAGTGACGACTCCGGCAGACCAGCCGCAAGCGCAGCAGGCCTGACTTTCCGTGGAATATACTTTTTGGACTCGGTTGTGATGATGGAAGAGTACATGCTTGTCGCGATGGCCGAAAGACCGGTGCGTATGGCTCCCATGACACCAGTCACCAGACCAATATCCGCCGGGTCCCAAAGATATGCAGTACTCGAAAGCGTCAAGTTCTCAATATATCCTGCTGCAATGGTGCCAACTAATAAAAAGGTTGTTGTTCGGTCTTCAGTACTCTCATCGGATGCGGCAATGGCGGCGACAAAGGCCGTTGTGATAACTGCTGCCACAGTCATTTGAATCTTCATTCGTGGTAGATAGCGCACACCGGCACCTCCAAGAATCTGTCCCAGGAGCAGACCACCCCCGACAGCACACTGTGAATGTCAGTGTAAACTCAAAAGCTGAAGAATCTACAAACTTACGGACAGCCACCCAATCTTGGAAATGTCGGTGGTGAATAGCGCAGAGATCATGGTTGGCCAAATGACCGTGTTGGCATAGTAGACAATAGCCGCCAAACTAGCACACGCTACATTCGCATCGTACTTGATGTTCCTGAACAGCCGTAGGGGTATTAATGGGTATTCGAGTCCAGGGGCGTAGGCTTCCCAAAAGCAAAATGCCACCAAAGTGCCAAATCCCGCAAACAGTGCTCCAAGTACGTGTCCGCTATCCCATGGGTATGCTGAGCCACCCCAGTTCATGCCGATCAGAAAAACAACGAGGCCAGTTGAAAATAGGATGATTCCAACCCAGTCGAGAGTCTTTAACTGTTTAAGTTTAGACTTGCCGCCAACGTGAAGCATTTCCTGTTGCTTGTTAGCCTTGACCGAGGCATGTGAATGAGAGCTCACTTACATATGTTGGTGGGAAATAGAAGAAAAAGTACATGACTACGGCAAAAACATTGACAATACATCCTAGGATATAGCACCATCGCCACTGAAGCGCTGTGGTCTGATAGAGTGATCGCGCAACTGGAGGACCAAAGACTGCAAACGGAACGGAAGTGAAAAGCACAAAAGCATTGACGGGACCTCTGACAGAGTTCGGTACAAGCTCGCCGAGGATAATGTGAAACGAGAGCTGGCCGGCAGCAGCGAGGCCGTTGATTGAGTTGGTGGCCTGTTTCTGTTAGCGGCGTCTGCCGATATAGCATTTTGTACTAACAATCAACATGTCTATGCTTTGTGCACTTGCTCCGATGATGTTGCCGACTAGACCGAGAAGAGATGAACAAATGAAAAACCATCTCCGACCGAATATGTCGGATAGACGGCCAACAAGCGTAAAGCCAATGGCAAAACCAGCTGTCCATGAGATGCTGACCCATATGATGTTTGGTGATGGTCCAATGGCAGCATTAATGAGGCTCAAGGTGTTGGATGGAAGAACCCAGCCAAGATACCTAGATGATGGTCAGTGTCTCACCCCGTGCTATAGGTTGGACATAAACTTACCCTGATATTTGCGCCAAACATGTAGCCTGTACATAGTGAGTTTTTGACAAACCAACAAAGCACAAAGACCTACAATGACTGTGCCAATAAAGTTGATGCTCGTAAAGTATGACTTGCCTAAGTCAGCCGTGCGCCCGCCGAGCGCCTCTTCGGCAACGTGGTCGTGGTGGAGCCCATGGTTGCGAGAGGTATCTTCATTAGTAAAGTTGCTACCAGTAGTGAGATTGCTACCGGTGGTGACTTGTTGATCAAACTGCTTCTCTCTTGTCATGGTGTTTTGGGCTCTGGCGGATTCAGTGGCACTGTTGCGCACAGAGCACGACCGTGAAGAAACCCTTCCAGCGATGGAGTCTGGGCAGTCTTTATCAACATGCAATACTCATGATTCAGGGGACATATGCGGGGACCCCAGACGCCTCAGTGTGGAGTAAAGGCTCCATCAGTCGGGTTCCAGATAACCGGAAGTGGCCACTGTGTACAAGGCAATGGTTTCACGGCATAGAGCAACGATCTGCTTGCCCGGATGGGAAAGGCAAGCATGATCTGATTGGTATCTAGAGGTCCCTACCCGGATATCATTTTGACTGTGTAGAGGTGCAGGAGCTGACTGCGTGTGGTAGCCGGATGATGGTACCCGGACTGCAGATTAGAGGGTGTTAATGCAAGAATGGCCATGGAGCGTATGTTTAGATGCATATACAAGGTCCAAATGCGTCTTCCAAGCAGAAGAGACTGCATCAATTAATTTCTCGCGAGATGCCTACCAAAGTGGTAGCACCAGGACACACTGTGCAGAAGCAAGATGCCGTAGCAGGGAAAGATCATCGGCTATCGTTTCCAGCGCAGAATGGCCTTAGAACTTTGTTCGACAATCTTTAGCCGACATATGCTGCTCAACTGCAAGCCTCCCATATGCGGGGTCAAGGGGGTGACTGCAAACGCAAAGGCACTTTACGTATCCGAGTCACGATGCACGAACCCGTATCAAGGTAGATCTAGCGCGTGGGGTGTAGCACGGATGGCATGCAAAGGGACTCGGAGGCTGACATTGCCGCTGCCCCTCTAGACCTCCCTGTACAGTAAGTACACTTGAGAAGGGTGTTCAGTGAGAGGACGAGGGATGGAGAATGAAGAATGAAGAACAGTAGGCAGGCCCAGGAGTGCATGCAGTGGTAAGCGAGAAGGAGCGGCGTCGTCTTCCCCGCATTCCACTCCCACTAGCACGTGATTGGGCGTGACTCGCCGCGGTCCCGCCAAAAACTTTTGGTCACGGTTGGATTGTCGTCGCGTCTGCACCTTCGCCTTCACCAAAACCTCATGATCGACCGGTGACGCACACCCAGACCTACGAACCTCCAGCATGGCTTCAGTAACGGCGCCTTCGCCGGTGCCCAAAGAAGAGCCCGTCGACGCCAACGCCAACAACAGCAACAATGAAGGACTCAGCCCCGCCGATGCGCTATACGAGAAATGCGCCCAACGACCAGCAGGCCAGATCTTCTTCCAGCGAGACCTGTCCAACATGCAGGTTGCAGATACTGTGACACAGCTGATGGAGCTGTTGCAAGAGCTCAGCGACCGCCATCTGTTGAAGCACATGACGTTTGAGGGACTTACGTGCTGGAAGCTGAGAACACGAGAAGAGGCCGACAAGTGTGTGCACCCTTGATGCTGTGCACGAGTGCGCAGACTCAAACACTTAAAATCGCATATGCGAGCACCCTGCTAACATGTGCACCCAGGCTTCGACGACTAACTCCCGACGAGCGCCTCCTCTACCAGTACATCGACCAGGCCCAGACCGAAGGTATCTGGTCCAAGGTCCTTCGATCCAGGACCAACGTCACCCAGCAAACCCTCACAAAATGTCTCAAGAACTTGGAATCCAAGGACTTGGTGCAGTCAGTCATGAGCGTCAAGCACCCCAACCGTAAAATGTATCTGTTGAAGCACCTCAAGCCATCGGAAGAGATCGCCGGCGGGCCATGGCAATCAGAAGGAGACTTTGACATGGCGCTGATTGATACAATATCGGGTATTGTTGCACAGCATGTGGAGAACGAAACTTGCATCCGGGTGCCGGGCAACTGGAACGATTACGACATCACAGAAGATAGGACGGCTGCCATTGCCAGGAAGAAGGCGCAAGTGCAAGGTGTTCCGGACATTGAGGACATTGCACCGGCTGTCAAGCCTCATCGCCCATCCAAGGATCCAAATGTAACCAAACTTGTTCATCGACACAACCCACAGTACCCGACCGCCGCCTCCGTAGCCAACTGGCTCAACTCGAAAGAGATTTTACGTGGCAAAACCGTGCGCGAAGACGACATGGAGCAATTACTCGAGATGATGGTGCTCGACGATCGGCTAGAGAAAATATCTGGTACCAACTATCGGACTGTGCTGCGCGCAACAGATACCAAAGTCTACAATGGCTTCGTTGATGCTCCCTGCGGCAACTGTCCAGTATTTGATTTATGTGGAGATGAGGGTGAAATTTCAGCACGAACTTGCGTCTATTTTGGCCAATGGCTCGGGACGGAATCGGAGGAGATTTAGCGGCAGAATCATTTGAGCAGCTTGGACCATTTTATCCTTTTTTTGAAAGCATAGCGTGGGCGTTTGTGGATCTTCTTCATAGCCTAGGTAGATGCGATGTGTTCACCAGCCATGGCTTTAGTCGAAATAACAAGTTCAATTCTTAGTGCATACTTGTTTTCGTATTTGTCTTGCCGTGTCATTGACTTGACATGCATCTCTGGCTCAACGAACTTATTTCCCTATTGGCGCGAAGATTGTTCGAATAAGAAGGTGAATTGTGGTGCTTTGCTGCTCGTAAGAAATGTTGCGGCGGCTTTTAGTATAGGTACATGCAGAGTCTAACGATACAAGTCTGGTTAAATCTTCTAGACTACTGTGACAACGACAACGATCTTTAAATTGTTCCAGAGATCGACACGCGTCGTATGAGCTGTCCATTTACCGGAACTAGAGAAATCAAAAAAAAACTATTCCCGTAGACACAGTGACGCGTGTACCTAAAGTTGGTATCAGTGGTTAACCCGCCACCGATACAGGTGCCCAAGATATCTTCGCATGCTCTAGAAAATATTTCATTGGAAACATCCGTGTGTTACCAGACTCCGGCTATGAGGTCAGGCAGCATGTGCCCTCAACAAGGTGGCCGTGTCTTAATTTTGTAAACACGTCAACAAATTGGGAAGCGGTTACAAACCACAAGTCTACTACAACAGGCATTCATTTCCATAACTTGTGACACACGCGCTTCTTACAAGGAAATTTTCCAATACGATTCTGGGTGTTTTGCTTTAAGATGGGTTAAGGACGAAACAGAAATATTCAATGAGTCTTCGTGCAGAGGTTCTTTTTGCCAGCAAATATTTTCTCTTCCTCGAGCAGAGATTGCTGGCAATTTAGTATACCTCTCTGTCAGGGGCTCGGTCACTTGATCGGGCATTCCATCTGTCTACTTATGCTTTTGCAGTAGATTTGCCGTATGTTTGATAAGCTGACCAATTTCCAATACGACTGGCTTACTGCTTGAAAATATCTCCCTAGGACGTGTTTATATCTAGACGTTATTTGCAGAGCCTGCACCATCCTTTGAAATCAGATTTGAGCCAGAGATCTCACTAGTGGTTTGTTTTGGCATGATTCAACGTATTTTTGATCTGCGCTGATTGCATGACGAGGATCAGAATTACCATATAGTGTATCAATACAGAATGAGATGGAAATTGGTTAAAAAAGCGCTCAGGCCTGTAGAAAAGCTAGGGTGAGGTAAGCATTAGAAGACATTGATGACAGATAACCTCATCTCAGTGATGTATATGAAGACCATTGGCTGTTGCAGTAGTGTTTACGACTAGAGGTCCTATAGTCCAATAACTCTACACCCAAATTTTGCATCAAACCATCTATCTTCTTCAAGTCATAATTGTCCAAGCAGATTCACAACTATGTATCTTCACTGGCAAAGGGTTAAGCATAATTTTCAATAGTCTTACTATGGGTTTTCGTAAAGATTACGATAATCTCGCCAAGACGTCGCCAGGAGAACATGTCACAAGGATAAAGCCTGTATCACGTGGCATATGCGTCTCACGCTAGCAACACATCCGGTGTCGATCATCCGGCGCGACACCCCGTGGCTATCCATCTGACCTGACTTGGTCTCTACCCCGTAATCTTCAGTCTGAATGTAACAAACCACGAACCCAACCCCCGCATCGCCTTTGCACTGTTTAGTCGTTACTGAGCCTTTGCGCTCCCACAACATCCACCATGTCTGGCGCTCGCCCCCTACTATCAAACCGCGCGTCTTCTGAGATAAGCGGTGGCCGCGACCTGGCAGAAGAAGACGCCCTACTCACAGGCCGCCGGACCGGATACGGAGAGAAGGGATATTCGCAGTCACAGAAATGGAGAGAAGTAGGACTGTTTGTCTGGGCTGTTATTGCAACAGGTGCTGTCGTTGTACTCGGCATTCTCCTTCAAAGTTCGAGCGACGACTCCAAGACACCCCAAGCAACTGGGAAGAGGAACTTGATTTTCATGGTCTCTGACGGAATGGGCCCTACCTCGCTGTCTCTCACGCGATCCTTCATGCAGTTCCAGAATGGCGCTCCTTTCAATGAGCAGCTCGTCCTCGATCAGCACCTTATCGGCCAGTCACGAACACGCTCCTCTTCCTCGCTCGTCACCGACTCAGCAGCCGGTGCGACGGCCTTCTCTTGCGCACAAAAGAGTTACAACGGTGCCATCTCCGTGACGCCTGATCATGAGCCATGTGGTACCGTGTTGGAAGCGGCTAAGAAAGCGGGATACATGACCGGCTTGGTAGTTACAACGCGCATCACTGATGCTACACCGGCGTGCTTTGCTGCGCATGTGAACATGCGATCTGAGGAAGACCGTATTGCAGAACAAATGGTTGGAGACCACCCGCTTGGACGTGTGGTTGACTTGATGTTTGGCGGTGGCCGATGCCACTTCTTATCAAACTCGTCTGGCAACTCGAGCTGTCGAGCCGATGACAAGGACATTGTCGGAGTGGCTAAGGAGAATGGATTCAACTACATCTCGGATCGTGCCGGATTCGACAAGTTGAAGGGAGGAGTTTCGGTCGACTTGCCCATGTTGGGGCTCTTTGCTGATACAGATATCCCCTATGAAATCGACCGCCGCAATCAGAACAACGTCTACCCGAGTCTGCACGAGATGGCCGAGGCCGCCATGAACGCGCTCAGCCATGCGACCAGGGACAGCGATAAGGGCTTTTTCCTCATGATTGAGGGTTCCAGGATTGATCACGCAGGCCATCACAACGACCCTGCTGCCCAAGTCCACGAGGTGCTTGCATACGACAAGACTTTTAACAGCGTGCTCAAGTTTATCAAGAAGGAGAAGACACAAACCGTCATGGTCTCGACATCTGACCATGAAACCGGCGGCCTAGCAGCCGCTCGACGTACGTCACCCGTACTCTTTATACGAATCACAGTTAACAAACCCCCTAGAACTCCATTCTTCATACCCTGAATATCTCTGGTACCCATCTCCCCTCGCCAACGCCTCCCACTCTGCCGAACACCTCGCTCTCGCCTATAACACATTCCTCGCAACTAACCCTTCAGCCGATCAAACCGCCGACTTCGTCCGCGACTCCATTACGACCGGTCTGGGCATCCACGACTTCAACGACGATGAAGTCAACAATCTTGTCAAGGACCCTGCAACTTCCCTCTACCAATACGCAGATATGGTTTCGCGCCGCTCGCAGACAGGCTGGTCAACTCACGGCCACAGCGCCGCAGACGTCAACATTTACACCTCTGACCCAGAAGCTGCACACGCACTCCAGGGTAACCATGAGAACACCGAGGTTGGCCAGTTCCTGAGGGACTACCTGAATGTCGATGTCAATGCTGTGACTAGGGAATTGCTGGAAAAGGGCCGCGGATTGATGGTGCAGGATGTCAATGGCACTGAAGTTAGTTGGATGGGTAAGCTGCCGGATGCGGGGCAGAGACTAGATGGTCAGACCCATCTGGCGAGTTATGGAGGTGATTTCAAGAAGAGGCATGAGGGTGTTTTGCATAGTGAGGCATGTGGATGTGGTCATTGAGCATTCCATCTTTCCTCCTTTTTTTACGTCTAACCTGAATTCCTCAAGACCATTCGAGCGTTTTGTATGCTATATGCTTTTATGGGTTTTATTGAATGTTGAGTCAGGATTGTTGTCTGTGTTATGTGGGTATGTTGTATGGGTTGCATAGATTTTTCTTACAATGATTACAGTTGGAAGGGTAATTAATATTTAGAAACTACTGCTTCAATATACTACCTAATATTCATACTTCTAACATGTTAAGTTATCTTCCTTCCCTTGAATTTCTATCTAAATTATGACGTTGTTTTTGCGGCTTGAACCTTCCCATGTCCGGTTCTAATTGTGTTAAAGTTTAGTTAGTTGTAATTTTGTTGTACCACAACTTTCATTTACTTAACTCTCACTCTGTGGGATTATCTCTCTCGAGAATTTTAACATATTGATATTTTTTTTTAGCTGAGTCTTGAAATCATCCTGCATGCATTTTCACTGGGCTACTACAATGTTCTTGTGTTCCAGTAAATCTCGCTTTAAATATAGCAATACAACGTACATAAACAGTGGGGAAAAATATAGAAGAGGCGAAGTAGAAGTAGAACTTTGACAATTCATGCAGCAATTGAACATTACAAAAATAAGTACTAACCCACTCGTCTGGTCCACAAACACACAGTTTCGTGGTTGAACAGCCGATATGCACCATGCAGACCACACAAATTCCAGGTTCAAACTAACGAAAGAGACATGTTCTCTCACATTCAGTAAGCAAGCAGGGCACAACCTGTATTGATAAACTTATACATTTACAGCTTAAGTCAAACACACTAATAATAAAGACACATAGTGTCACTAACAGGACTCTTAACTAGAATGATCAATTCCCCGTCCAAACTCCACGCTAAATCAAACACAAAAACTTCGCAGATGCCTCAATGATCCAAACTTATTTACCTCAATATTGCCTTTATATGATTCTGCCCCAGAACTAGAAGACTCCCAGTGGCTCAGAATGCAGGCTCACTTCTGATGGTGAAGAAACTGGTTCAGGGGATCCAGTGCTAGATTGTTCGTCCAGATTAGACTTAGACACCAAAATCATTTCCGAAAGTCCCACTGCCATATGTCCAGTCCGGTTGTGTATCCAGCAACCAAGAGACCGAATCGAACATTTCAAAACTATTGGCGCTCGCCATGCCGTTGGAAAGCTGAAGCGGCATGCTCAGTGTATTGATGTGCGGGTTGAAATTTGGTAAGGTATGCGCGGGATTCTCGATGACCACGCCATTCGGTGGCGTGGAATTGCCAGAGGAGTCCGGGTTGGTAGGGTTCGTTGTAACGGTCTTTTCGAGTAATTCCGCGGCACCGGCAACTTGCGCCTCGCGCCAGCGCCATGCACAGTCGAACACTACGCTCATACTCATCCGGCTTCTGATTATGAGGCCGAGAGGATCGTCTAGTAATGTGGCGCTGCTTCGTCTTTGGTCGTGCTGTTGCTGTTGCCGCTGATTGTGGTGGTTGAACATACTGCTGTTCATACCGGCATTGCTAAGGGAGGGTGATTGCGACATGCTGTGCAAGCTGCGACCTCTAGAGCTTTCCTTCCACAACTGTGCCAGCACTTCGGCGAATCGATCCAAAAGGTCGTTGGACCACACTTTGGCCTTTCTCAGTGCGTCAACCGTTTGCAGTACGAATTGTCGACCTTTGTCCGCAGGTAGTTTGCTGGCGAAGTCGGAATTGAGGAGTTTGAGTAAGGCAAATCCAGCCGCGAGTGCCATCTGCATGACGTAATAGGGAACGTAGGGTAGTTTTCCATCGCTGTGCAATTTGAAGACGCGTTCCAGGTAAGCTGTTGCGGCGAAGTACAAGGCGACAAGATCGTCCCGTCGCTCCAGTCGGGCTTCAGTGCTAAAGAAAGAGTATAAGTGAAGGTGTAATGAAACGGCGTAATGATATAGCTCTTCCAGATCTACTCATTGTTAGTCAATCGATGCTGTGGGCGAATACTATCAGTGCAACTTACCACTATCTACTCCATCAAGAGAACTATTTTCCTCTTTGACTCGCTCTTCCTTCAGGCGATCTGCCTCGAGACTCATGTAGCTGATGGCAGCACCTTCGGCAAATCGACGACTGTTAACTGAGTAGAGTAGCTTATTAATCCTGCTTGCCGCCATTTCCTGACGAAGCCGAACAAATAGCGTTGGTGGTATGATACGCATATGCTCCTCGTCATCCACTTTGAAATCAAGTGTGGTGTCGTAGAGAGTGATAGAGGGCTGTCCATTCCCTGTCGATACCCTGAAAATTGTTAGTCTTTGTCTGAAATTACAAGCAGGGCTAGGCCTACGTTTGTGCTACAATATTGCAGACAGCCCATGTCCTCAGGCGATCGTGAATATCCTCTTGCCGTAAGCGCATCCTCGTTCTAGAAAAGTCATCTGGGTGTGTCGGCTGGTGTAAGCCAATTTGCATTGCGACTTGCATCATAGCACCAGAGAGGATAAAGGTCGGGTCCGTTACTGTTCGCTCTGCCGGTAAAGGCCAGGTACAGAGAAGACACAAGGCCTTGACTACGTGGTGGTTTGGTTGGTTTCTTATCGAATCCCAAATCAGATCGCTGAGCGGTTTGGCAAGTTCTTTGAGGAGGGACGGCCTAGGTCCGTAGCGCCGTGCGGCGACAGCAATAATGGCCCAGAACAGGAGCTTATGGTCCTGGGAATAGTATTCGTCGGGCGACCGTACCTGGTCTAGGAATGGCAAAAATGGGTGGAAGAGCTGGAAGTACTCGGTGAACAAGTCGTTGACCTCGCTGTGCCCAAGCCGCACTTCGCCAGCGCCGAGCGTAAAGAACATGGGCGATCCGCTGCGCAGGTCCAGCAGAGATGTTGCCGCAACTTGTGTGTGTTGTGTTTGTAAAAATGCATCGTCCTCGACCTTGGGCACTGGACCGGGAGTGAAGTTATGACTATTATTGGACGTTTGCGGCGGAGCTTTGAGGACAGGCTGGTTCGGCGTGGACTGACCCTCGTACATGGCCAGCCTCTCACGGAGATACTCCATTTCCTTCTCCATCTCTGCATTCCGGTTGCGCTTGCCTATGCGCTTGAAGTTGGGTTCGATGACGCATCGTAAGTTTTGCTTCTGGCAGCGGGCGCAGCTGACGAAGGGATCTTGCTGGACGTTGCATTTGAGCTGTGAAGAAAATATCAGAGTTAGCGGGAAGAAGCAGTGGCTGCAGAAAAAGAAGAACAAGGATGCTGATCGCCCAACTGTCCACCGCCGGCTGGCACACAGCCTTATCTGTCATACCTTTTGCTGGCGACACTCGTTGCATGCGCGCTTCACGGCGGTATTGCGCCGCGACGACGACGACGGGCGCGTATCTCCATCACCATTTTCGTCGTCGTCGCTGGATGCCGAGCGCTTGAAACCGCGCGCATGGTTGCTGTTGGGGCTAGCGAAAGGATGCGGAAGGGCTTGCAGTCCTGGCGTCGTCGGCGACAAGGAATGTAACGTGTTGTTCGACATGGCGACCGATATCGCAGACAATCTAGGGTGTCGAGGTGAGTGTAAGTGGGGGTCGCGCTGGCTGAGTGTCCGAGGCCGCCAGCGCAAAAGTCGCCTTCACTCGCGGCGCCAAAGTCTGACTCCAACACTCCAGGACCAGGAAGGGCGCGGAACAGGCGCTCAATCATGCGCGTCGTTGCAATCGCAAATTGCAAGCTCCACGTCCTCGAGCGCCGGCAAGCTCTACGTACATGAACGCTCGTCAACCACCAATCACATCATCGGGCCCATGCTCGAGTCGCGGCTCACCAGCCTTCTTCTGGCTGGGCACCGTGGCTATCCGACATGTTTCTCTCGGCACGGCTAGGTTTATTTGTATCCGAGTCTGAATGACACGCGCCTCACCGTCTGGACATGTCGTCTGTGTCCCATACATGGATGCAAGACATGGTTCACATCGTCGTCATCAGGATGCAGGGTAAGACATGCAAGCAGCTCTATATATAAGGTCGATTCGGTACCACTGTCGTCTGAGCACGTGTTGGTATTGTGTTGCAATAATAAATTCTGCCCTCAAGCAGCGTGTTGACCGACAGCAGCACTCGCGCATTCTCCTCGAATGACGCATGCGAGGAAATTTTAGGCGCACCAGTTTGCATTGGAAAACGGCTTATGAGCAAGCTTTCAAGCCACCGGCCCTTCACATTGGCGTCACACTATAGTATCCTGGGAGAGTCGTGTCGTAGCTTGTGGATGTATTCGTGATCCTACTCAGCTACATCCTGGCCGAGTGGCGCAGAAATCTTCTTGATATCGTAAAAGCCGACCGAACCAGGAGACTGCCCATAATGCACGTAACACCGTTGACCCAGTTTTGACATGCTAAACCCCCTCATCCTTCAACGCAACCGCTTAACGCTTCTTTTGCTGGGACTCCTTGAGCACCTTCTTGACGACCTTCTGCTCCTCGATCAGGAAAGCACGGACAATGCGGTCCTGAACGCAGTTGGCGCATCGCGATCCGCCGTAGGCGCGCTGGACGGTCTTCTTGGGGCGGGAAACTTGGGCGTACTCGCGGGGGCGGAGGGCGGGAACACCCTGGAGCTTGGTACCGCAGTCCTGGCAATCGTCAATAGCACGCCTTGGTACCATATCAATTCAACTTACACCGCACTTGGGGGCAGTGCCCTTCTTCTTGATGTGCAGGTAACGGAGCTCGCCACCGGGAGTCCTGACAATGCGGACCTTCTGGCTCTTGGTGTTGTATGGCGCACGTCGCCTCTGTCCAAATGTCAGCCTTCAATTCCGAATTTCCTCTTGAGAACTCTCAATCGCCGGGTCCAGCTCTCGAGATTGCGGTGCGACGTACGTAGGTGAGTCTGTTGGAAGGCATCGTGATAGATTTCCCGGGGAGTCAGTGGGTAATTATCTGCAGTGATGTGAGCGATGTCGTCTCCGAGGCAGCGCGGTGCGTCGAAAAAAAAAATTGTACCTGAGTCTGGACAAGAATTAGTATGGGACAATAGCTGCCAGCACGTTGTCGAGGAAACTTACCACTGGGGTGCTGTGTCGTTAGTGATCGGACGTCGAGAGGTCAAAATTCCGGTGTTCTGCAATTCTCGCTTACCAGGCCCTGGCGCTAGTGGGCTAGGCAGGAGCTAGCGTACGGCGACCCACTACTCGGTCACGTGCCCGCGTCGCTGTCTGCAGATGTCGCGAAGACAAAAGTTCATGCACGCCACTAGCGATCCATCTCCATCACCTCACCCACACAACGCGCGGGGTCGTATCTCTGCATCGTGTGCGCCACCTCTCTTTCGACTTTCGAGCAATTGGAGATTGTCGTTGAACGGGTGTGCCGACGCGACTTTTCTCTTCTTCGACCGCGGCGCTGTCCGCAAAGCTCAGGAATAGACTCCTAAGCTTGTCGCGACCTGTGCTCAGTCGACTCGTGCAGTGCAGTACTGCACCAGAGTCGTTTTCTTAAAGGTCGGCCACTTTCTCGTTCCTTATTTTACGGTGTTCGCCAAATATAGAAGGGACCTGCTGGAGACCTAGTTGTCATCCTTTCACCCCCGAGACTCTCAGCGCAAATCCGTTCCAGTCGCGCCCAGAAGCTCTATCTGACAATAACAGCCTTTTATACCCTACAGTAATCAAGATGGATTTCCCTCCGCCGCCTCCACCGCCACCTCCACCGGGTCCTCCTCCCCCAGGTCCTCCAGGTTCTGGATATGCGCCGCCACCTCCTCCACCGCCCCCTCCAGGCCCTCCAGGCCCACCTGGTACCGTTGGACCTCCCGGTATGCGCCCGCCAGTCGACCCGCAAATCACCAAGTTCGCGCAGAAGAAGAAGGACTGGCTTAGACAACAGCGTCAGAGGTTCGGCGAAAAGCGCAAGGCTGGCTTTGTGGAGACGCAGAAGGCGGATCTCCCCCCAGAACATCTGCGCAAGGTCTTCAGGGATATTGGCGATGTATCTCAGAAGAAGTTCACTTCGGACAAGCGAAGCTATCTCGGTGCGCTAAAGTTCATGCCACATGCTGTTCTGAAGCTCCTCGAGAATATGCCTATGCCCTGGGAAAGTAGACGTGATGTAAAAGTCCTCTACCACACCAATGGGTGCTTGACGCTAGTGAATGAAGTCCCTCGTGTGATTGAGCCCGTGTTCCACGCGCAATGGGCTGCCATGTGGCTGGCTATGAGGAAGGAGAAGAGCGATCGCCGACATTTCAAGCGAATGCGTTTCCCACCATTTGATGATGAAGAGCCTCCTCTGTCTTACTCAGAGAACATTGAGGATGTGGAGCCTTTGGAGCCCATCCAGTTGGAACTCGATGAGGACGAGGATAGCCCTGTGTATCAATGGTTTTATGACCACCGCCCACTTCTCGACACTCCACATGTGAATGGTCCTAGTTACGAGACTTGGAATTTGGATCTCCCACAGATGGCGACACTATATCGCTTAAGCAAACAGCTTCTCAGCGACATCGTTGACAAGAACTACTTCCACATGTTTGATCTAGACAGTTTCCAGACTGCAAAAGCCCTCAATGTTGCGATACCCGGAGGTCCTCGCTTTGAGCCCCTATATAAGGACATTGACCCGAACGACGAAGATTTTGGCGAGTTCAACGCAATCGACCGCATCATCTTCCGATCCCCCATCCGAACCGAATATCGCGTATCATACCCATATCTTTACAACTCGCTACCTCGAAGTGTCAAGCTGGCTTGGTACTCGTATCCGCAGGTTGTCTACGTCCGCGCAGAGGATCCGGATCTGCCAGCCTTCTATTTCGATCCTGGAATCAACCCAATTTCTTCCAGAGCTGTTGCTCCGAAGAACTTGGCCGTAAGCCACGAGGACATGGTTTTCGGGGATGCCGATGAGGATGACGAGGACGATTTCCAGATGCCCGAGGACGTGGAGCCATTCATGGCTGATGAGGATCTTTCTACACCAGATACTGCTTCCGCCATTGCGCTTTGGTGGGCGCCTCATCCGTTTGACAAGCGATCAGGTCGCATGGTCAGGGCGCAGGATGTTCCCTTGGTCAAGCAATGGTACCTGGAACACGTACCTGCGGGCCAGCCAGTCAAAGTCAGGGTCTCTTACCAGAAGTTGCTGAAGACATATGTTCTCAACGAACTACACAAGAAACCACCTCAAGCACAAAATAAGCAAAACCTTATGAGGACATTGAAGAGCACCAAGTTCTTTCAGCAGACCAAGATTGACTGGGTCGAGGCCGGTCTGCAGGTGTGTCGACAGGGTTACAATATGTTGAATCTGCTCATTCACCGCAAGAACTTGACATATCTGCATCTTGACTACAACTTCAATTTGAAGCCAGTCAAAACTCTCACCACCAAGGAGAGAAAGAAGTCACGTTTCGGAAATGCTTTTCATCTAATGCGTGAAATCTTGAGATTGACGAAGCTCATCGTTGATGCTCAAGTGCAGTATCGTCTAGGCAACATTGATGCCTTTCAGCTTGCCGATGGTATCCTATATGCTTTCAACCACGTCGGTCAACTGACTGGTATGTACCGTTACAAGTACAAGCTGATGCACCAAATCCGATCCTGCAAGGATCTGAAGCATTTGATTTACTACCGATTTAACTCTGGCCCTGTGGGCAAAGGTCCTGGATGCGGTTTCTGGGCTCCCGCCTGGAGAGTCTGGTTGTTCTTTATGCGAGGTATCATCCCTCTGCTCGAGCGTTGGCTAGGCAACTTGCTTTCACGTCAGTTTGAGGGCAGACACAGCAAGGGTGTCGCAAAGACTGTCACCAAGCAGCGAGTAGAATCGCACTTTGATCTCGAGCTCCGTGCAGCCGTCATGAGCGATCTCATGGACATGATGCCTGAGGGAATCAAGCAGAATAAGGTCAACACTGTCTTGCAACATCTTTCGGAAGCATGGCGCTGCTGGAAGAGCAACATTCCTTGGAAGGTGCCTGGTTTGCCAGCGCCTATCGAAAACATCATATTGCGCTACGTCAAGAGCAAGGCCGATTGGTGGATCTCAGTCGCCCATTACAATCGCGAGCGCATTCGACGGGGTGCCACTGTTGATAAGACTGTTGCTAAAAAGAACCTGGGACGATTGACTCGTTTGTGGCTCAAGGCCGAACAGGAGCGCCAGCACAACTACATGAAGGACGGTCCTTACGTTTCGTCCGAGGAGGCTGTTGCCATTTACACGACCATGGTACATTGGCTCGAAGCCAGAAAGTTCCAACCGATTCCTTTCCCAAGTGTCTCATACAAACACGACACCAAGATTTTGATTCTAGCGTTGGAGCGTTTGAGGGAAGCTTACTCTGTCAAGGGTCGTCTCAATCAGAGTCAGCGTGAAGAATTGGCACTCATCGAGCAGGCATATGACTCTCCTGGAACAACACTAGCTAGGATTAAGCGCTTCCTGCTTACACAACGTGCGTTCAAGGAAGTCGGCATTGATATGAACGACAACTACAGCAGTATCAACCCTGTATACGATATTGAGCCAATGGAGAAAATCACGGACGCATATCTTGATCAATACTTGTGGTACCAAGCCGATCAGCGACACCTATTCCCTGCTTGGATCAAGCCTTCAGACTCTGAAGTTCCCCCTCTCTTGACATACAAATGGGCACAGGGTATCAACAATCTTGATCAAGTCTGGGAGACCAAAGATGGCGAATGCAACGTCATGATCGAAACTCAGCTATCAAAGGTCTACGAGAAGATTGATTTGACAATGCTGAACCGACTGTTGCGTCTCATCATGGACCACAACCTGGCAGACTACATCACAGCCAAGAACAACGTACAACTCAACTACAAAGACATGAACCACGTCAACGCTTATGGTATGATTCGCGGCCTGCAGTTCTCTGGATTCGTGTTTCAGTACTATGGTCTCGTCTTAGATATTCTACTGCTGGGCTTGCAGCGTGCAAATGAAATCGCTGGCGCTCCTGAGAGTCCCAACGATTTCTTGCAGTTCAAGGACAAGGAGACTGAGGTCCGCCACCCAATTCGCCTCTACACAAGGTACATTGACCGCATCTGGGTCTTCTTCAGGTTCACCGCCGAAGAGTCACGAGACTTGATTCAGCGATTCCTAACTGAGAACCCCGATCCCAACTTTGAGAATGTCATCGGCTATAAGAACAAGAAGTGCTGGCCGCGTGATTCCAGGATGCGATTGATGCGTCACGATGTAAATCTTGGTCGTGCCGTCTTCTGGGATCTCAAGAACCGATTGCCGCGGTCGGTTACGACCATTGAATGGGATGACACCTTTGCCAGTGTCTACAGTCGCGACAACCCCAACCTGCTCTTTTCCATGAACGGTTTTGAAGTACGCATCTTGCCCAAGATCCGAAACTTGACTGGCGAATTCCCTGTCAAAGACAGTGTCTGGTCACTTGTCGACAATTCTACGAAAGAGCGCACCGCCGACGCCTTTTTGCAAGTCACGGAGGAAGACATTCAGAAATTCAACAACCGCATCCGACAGATTCTTATGTCTTCAGGATCCACCACCTTTACGAAGATTGCCAATAAGTGGAATACAACGCTTATTGCGCTCTTTACGTACTACCGTGAAGCTGCAGTATCAACCGTCAACTTGCTCGACACCATCGTCAAGTGTGAGACCAAGATCCAAACTCGTGTCAAGATTGGATTAAATTCAAAGATGCCATCGCGTTTCCCTCCTGCCGTGTTTTACACACCCAAGGAGTTGGGTGGTTTGGGTATGATATCTGGCTCACATATTCTTATTCCCACAAGTGACAAGCGATGGTCCAAGCAGACCGATACCGGAGTCACACACTACCGTGCGGGTATGTCTCATGATGAAGAGACGCTCATTCCGAACATCTTCCGATACATCATTCCGTGGGAGTCAGAATTTGTCGATTCGCAGCGCGTTTGGATGGAATACTCACAGAAGCGTCAAGAAGCACAACAACAAAACCGACGACTGACTCTTGAGGACTTGGAAGACAGCTGGGACCGTGGTCTTCCTCGTATCAACACGTTGTTCCAAAAAGATCGTAGTACGCTCAGTTTTGACAAGGGTTTCCGCGCCAGGACCGAATTTAAGATCTATCAGCACATGAAGAGCAATCCTTTCTGGTGGACGAGCCAAAGACACGATGGAAAACTGTGGAATTTGAACCAGTATCGTTCGGACTGTATCCAAGCGTTGGGTGGTGTAGAAACTATTTTGGAACATACACTCTTCAAGGCAACTGCTTTTCCATCCTGGGAAGGCCTCTTTTGGGAGAAGGCTTCAGGCTTCGAAGAATCGATGAAATTCAAGAAGCTCACGAATGCTCAGCGTTCGGGTTTGAACCAGATTCCAAACCGTCGCTTCACTTTGTGGTGGTCTCCCACCATAAACCGCGCAAACGTCTATGTTGGTTTCCAGGTGCAGCTTGATCTTACGGGCATCTTCTTGCACGGCAAGATCCCTACTCTTAAAATCTCGCTGATCCAAATCTTCCGAGCCCATTTGTGGCAGAAAATTCATGAGTCGGTGGTTATGGATTTGTGCCAAGTCTTTGATCAGGAACTTGAAGCCCTTGGTATCGAGACCGTGCAGAAGGAGACGATCCATCCTCGTAAGTCGTACAAGATGAACAGCTCCTGTGCCGATATCCTACTTTTTGCGAGCCACAAGTGGAGCGTTTCTCCACCGTCCATGTTGTACGACACTAAGGACACCATGAGCGCGACGACCACCAACAAGTTCTGGATTGATGTTCAGCTACGATATGGTGACTACGATTCGCACGACATTGAACGATATGTGCGCGCAAAGTATCTCGACTACACCCAAGACAGCATGAGTATTTATCCTTCCGCTACCGGTCTCATGATCGGTATTGATCTGGCATACAATCTTTACTCTGCTTACGGACAGTACTTCCCTGGACTCAAGCAGCTTGTTCAGCAAGCAATGGCCAAGATCATGAAGGCCAACCCAGCTCTCTATGTTCTTCGAGAGCGTATCAGGAAGGGTCTCCAGTTGTACGCTTCGGAAAGTTCTCAAGAATTCCTCAACTCTCAGAACTACTCGGAGCTGTTCAGCAATCAGATCCAGCTGTTCATTGATGATACCAACGTATACCGTGTGACGATCCATAAGACCTTTGAGGGTAACTTGACGACTAAGCCCATTAACGGCGCCATCTTCATTTTCAATCCTCGCACTGGCCAGCTGTTCTTGAAGATCATTCACACAAGTGTCTGGGCCGGTCAGAAGCGTCTTGGTCAATTAGCCAAGTGGAAGACTGCCGAAGAAGTTGCAGCTCTCATCCGATCATTGCCTGTTGAAGAGCAGCCGAAGCAGCTGATTGTCACTCGTAAGGGTCTGCTCGATCCTCTGGAGGTGCACTTGCTTGACTTTCCCAACATCTCCATCCGCGCCTCAGAGCTGCAGTTACCATTCCAAGCTGCCATGAAGGTGGAGAAGCTTGGTGATATGATCTTGCGAGCCACCGGGCCTCAGATGGTGCTTTTCAACTTGTATGATGAGTGGCTGAAGACGATTTCGTCATACACTGCTTTCTCGAGATTGATCTTGATCCTCCGCGCGCTTCATGTCAACCAAGACAAGACTAAGCTGCTCTTGCGACCTGACAAGACGGTCATCACCCAGGAGCATCACATCTGGCCTTCGCTAACGGACGAGGACTGGATCAAGGTTGAAGTGCAACTTCGTGATCTCATCCTGCTCGACTACGGCAAGAAGAATAATGTTAACACTTCATCACTCACCAGCAGCGAAGTGCGTGATATTATCTTGGGTATGGAGATTTCAGCACCCTCAATGCAACGTCAACAAGCTGCCGAGATCGACAAGCAGCAAGAGGAGCAGCAGCAACTGACTGCCGTCACTACGAAGACGCAGAACATCCACGGTGAGGAGATGGTTGTTACAACAACTTCGCAGTATGAACAGGCTTCCTTCGCCTCCAAGACAGAGTGGCGTACCAGGGCTGTTGCCACATCCAACCTGCGTACTCGTGCCAACAACATCTACATCAACTCTGAAGACGTCAAGGAAGAAGGCCACTTCACCTATGTCATGCCAAAGAACGTACTCAAGCGATTCATCACCATTGCCGATCTTCGCGTTCAAGTTGCGGGCTACCTCTATGGCAAGTCGCCTCCTGACAATGACCAGGTGAAGGAGATTTGCACCATTGTGATGATCCCGCAAGTTGGCAACACACGTGACGTGCAGCTGCCAAAGGAGCTACCGAGACACGAGTATCTGGATAACCTAGAGCCGCTGGGAATAATCCACACCGTCAGCGGAAACGAGCCGCCGTACATGCAAGCCAGCGACGTTACCCAGCATGCTCGTCTGATGAACCAGCACGCTAGCTGGGATAAGAAGACTGTTTCCATGACCGTGTCCTTTACCCCCGGTTCCGTCTCCCTCGCCGCGTGGGCCCTCACACCCAACGGCTACAAGTGGGGCGCCGAGAACAAGGATACAATGTCCGACAACCCCGCCGGCTTCAGCACCGGCTTCGGTGAGAAGTGCCAGTTGCTACTGTCTGACAAGATCCGCGGATACTTCCTGGTTCCTGACAATGGTATCTGGAACTACAGCTTCATGGGCAGTGCATTTGGTTCTGTCGAGAAGAAGCCTGTGCATGTGCGTCTTGATACCCCCGTTCGCTTCTACGACCCTGTGCATAGGCCGTTGCATTTCCATAACTTTGCGGAGCTTGAGGATGTTTGGGTTGATCGGGAGAACCAGTTTGAGTAAATGGTGGGAATAGGTAGTGGTTGGAGGGACGATGGATGAGAAGAAAAAAACGAGGATGAGCGTAATCAGATCACATCATGTTGTGTCTTTTTGGGGGCGTTTTGAGGTCCAAGGGCGTTTACTAGCACTTGTGGATGAAAACATTTGTAGGAGGGGCCGATGAATCAGGGACAAAATGTGCATAGTGTATTATAATCTTTTCAGCGAATTATATTCTTTAGCCGAAAGAAAATGTGCAATGGTCAAGTTGTCATTGAGTTTGTGACTATGGTCGTATTTTCACGTTTCCATTTAGGTATGATGTTTTTGGTTTTTAGCCAGACAAAGTTTCTTTACCTACGCTCTTGTAGTCTACATTAGACTCCAATGAGGCTACTATCATGCAAGCTTTGTGAATCGAACTTTTGACGACACTATTATAAAAAAATTCAAGTACGGAGCCTATCAAGCGTGAATATAACGATTCAGTTCGGAATGAACTGATCTGTCAACCTGGTCCCGGCCACACAAAGTAGGGTACGAGCTTTCTGCATGTGACACTATTCTAGAATACTAGAACAACGCAAGGCCTGTACCATGACACTGGGGCTATGGAGAACAATGCGGGAAAGGATGTGCATCCTAGTAATGGAAAGGCTGCAGTCATGGATTGTCCCATTGCATATATTGCAGCACTTGTGGAACATGACCTATCCGAGCACGCGATCCATGATCCTGTCAGTTGGGATAAGGCTGATGATTGTGCATCTGGTAATCGGACAGTTGGTAGTCTCTTGGTCGATGTGGCTATTTTGATCCACCTATCATCGTGAAGTTATTAGTTGTTGACAGATACGAACTCGGGAGTTGTTGGTGTATCTGTGAGCCGAAGTCAACAGCGTAGAGGCTTTAGCATGCCTTGAGATTGCCACAACTATTTGACCGTTTCATCCTTTACTGTTGACTCTTTGCCGTTTGTTATTTATTATTTGCTGTTTGCTATCTACTAAGACATAATTTGTCTTTATTTATTGAGTACTCCTCTTTAAATAGACTGTCTCCTGTCCATATTTACTTATTACGACTCTTGACACGGAATTGTGTCCAAATGTACATCCCGCATTTCTCTGACGAAATTGGAGTCTGAAATCCGGGTTGGTGGGAGTTCGGTGGACGTTCTATTCTCGATCCCCACACAGCGCTGTGCCCCACCCATCGCACCTTTATTTCAATTGACCATTTACCGCCGCTTCTTCACCCTCCAAGGAGACACCATCCCAACTACGCCTTATTGATAACCAGGCCGCGCGTGTTCGTTTGTAAAAGGAGGCATGTAATAACAAAACACTTATCCCAACCGCCCCAAGACCAAGCCCTTGGCCCGCATGGATAAAGTGTTCTTTGGTCCAGTCAATGGTCTTGTGAACGGTACCTTGGGGAGGCTAATGCGCAATCAGTAGGTGACAAGAGCAAGAAACGGGGAACACCTTGGCACTACGGAGCCTCGCAGAAGCTTTGACTTGCGTTATCTTTTTCTTGTTTAGCACCACTTGGCATGTCTTCTTTGAACCCTTCCGCCGCGCCAATCCAACGCCCAGCGCCGACCCTCATTCCTATCTTATCTTCATGAAGCGTCTTACAACGGGCTTGGAAGCCTCCAACAATGCGCTTAACCGCGGCAGCATGCCTGATAGTTTGCGCCAGAATCCTTCGACCGGACTAGCCGAGCTGCTGTGGGTCATGGGTACTGTGTCTGGACGCAATGGCTATGATAACACGGCCTAGATGTGAGCAGGAGGCGAGTTCCATAGTGGAATGCTCGATTGTCGCGTGCCACCCATGCAAAAGTCTGGTCTAATGCTCCGAGGTGCAGTTTCGCTTGTTGCTATATGAAAGAGCACATGTACCCATCCCTCAACTCTAGGTCTACCGCTCGTTGTGTTACTTCACTTCTGCGAGTCTCGCGCTTTTGCACTTTTGCTTTTGCAGACCAGCCACGGGTCCGTCTCACGGCGCAATGGCGACCACTACCGATGTCAAGGCGTCTCTTGAGATCACCAAGGGAGCGACCATGACGACTGATCCCATCGCTTTCGATACGGATTCTGTGTCAAGCGGCGCCAATGCCTTTCCGTACCCTACTGAAGAAGAATGGGCCACTCTCCCCAGGGTCGCTGGCAAGATCCCATGGCAAGCTTGGACTGTAGCTGTTGTCGAGTTTGTCGAGCGCTTCAGTTACTACGGCACCAGCGCTGTCTTCGTCAGTAAGCATGAACCAAGTCACGTACTGTCCATTAATTGCAATTTTTGCTAACTACAACTGCTAGATTTCATCCAGAAGCCCTTGCCCCCGGGTTCGGTTACGGGTGCTGGGTTTCTCAAGAAGCCTGGTTCTGGTAAAGTGGAACTTAATGGTAGCAAATGAATTGCTTTACTAACTCCTTACAGGAGCGCTTGATATGGGTCAGCGTGCCAGTACGGGACTGACTATGTTCAACCAGTTTTGGTCTTACATCACACCTCTTGGAGGTGCCTGGCTTGCTGATGAGTACTGGGGACGCTACAAAACCATCCAGTACTCCAACATCATTGCTATCATCGGTCACATCGTCCTCATCCTATCTGCAATTCCCCCGGTCATTGTAAAGCCCAAAGTCGCCATTTCTATTTTTTCAGTTGGTCTCGTAATCATGGGCGTCGGCACTGGTGGGTTCAAGAGCAATATCTCGCCCCTAATCGCAGAGCAATACAAGAATCAGAAGGCCTATGTTCGTGTTCGCAAGAACGGAAAGAAGGAAATTGTCTGCCCTGCGGTGACCTCGGCACGCATCTATCTTTACTTTTACTTCCTCATCAACTGTGGTTCTATCACTGGATCCATTGCAATGGTCTACACGGAGCACTTCCACTCCTTCTACCTGTATGTTCCCTCTTCTTTGTAACTCATTATACATCCACTAACTGCGATCACAGAGCATATACACTTCCCACGATCTGCTACCTCCTTTGCCCAATTATCCTAATCGCGATGAAGAAGCACTACAAGCTTGCGCCACCTACAGGATCCGTCATGGGCAAAGCTTTTAAGCTTATCAGATTCGGTATTAAGAATTCTCCTCGTAAGAACACGTTCAAAGACGATGATTTCTGGGAGAGGATCAAACCATCCGTTCTTCGTCGCAACAACCATCCCGTCCCTGATTGGATGACGTTCGATGATGCTTGGGTTGACGAAGTAAAGAGAGGAATTCTCGCTTGTAAAGTTTTCGTCTGGTTTCCGCTGTATTGGCTAGCGTACAATCAGATGACGGGAAACCTTGTTTCTCAGGCAAACACGATGAATTTGGGTAACGTCCCAAACGACATCATCTCAAAGCTGAACCCCCTATTCATCATCATCCTGATTCCGATCATGGACTTCGTTATCTACCCCGGTCTACAGAAGGCAGGCATTGTTTTCTCACCTATCAAGAAGATTACGGCTGGTTTCGCACTTAGTTCCTTCGCTATGGTATCCGCTTGTGTTACACAGCACTACATCTACAAGATGTCACCATGTGGAGACAACATCAACGCTCTCAGTAAGACACGCAAGGACTGCAACGCCGACATCACCGTCTGGGTCCAGGTCGTACCATACGGTCTGATTGGCTTTTCTGAGATCATGGCATCCATCACCAAGCTCGAGTACGCGTACACTAAGGCCCCCAGCAACATGAAGTCAACCATCCAGGCTATCGCTCTCTCCACTTCTGCAGTTTCCGCCGCGCTGGGACAGGCTTTTGTCAGTCTATCTGAAGATCCTCTGCTGGTATGGAACTACGGTTCCGTCGCTGTTGTTGCCTTGTGTGGTGGTATTGGTTTTTGGATGACTTTCCGCAAGGCCGACAAGCAGGAAGACGCACTAAACAACATGAAGGAGAGCAACTTTATGGGCGGCAGGGAGATTGGCGACGCCGAGAATGTCGATACTTTGAGCGTACGCGACGAGAAGAACGAGAAGAGCGGGTTTTAGATACCGCCATGACTTCGAGCGGAGAGGATTGGAATATTACTTATGAGAATAATATCACAAACAATGGAGTCACTGTCGAAACTCTGATCATCCTTTTTTGTCCCCCCGCATTGAATCCCTATCGGAACTCCGATTATGCTCTCTTGTCATCCATCCTAAAATATAAGATTTTGGGCATGTCCAAATCTTTACATCATCATGACCATCTGATGAACTATGGACCCACCCTATTCCGGTCTAGCGGCCTTGACTAACTCTCGGCGCGTACCCGCGGCTCCACCTGTCAATCAATCTTGTGCTACATACTCTACGCGTTTAGCATCGTCACCCAAAAACATAAACTCGATCGTTGTACCGGTATCCCGGATCCCAAAAACGCAGCGGGCCGCAGTCCCTGCCCCTGTTGCTATCCGAGATTCCGCACGCTATCCTTAAAGCACACGTATACACATGTAAAAGAAGCCGCGTTCAGAGCCCAATGCCTCACCCACTCCTCCCAAAGCATCCCTTAAAGAAAGCTACCACGCCCCTGACGTCAACGTCAGTGCAAAACACGGCTGCGCGGCGGGATGAAGTAGAATTTAACACTGAGCCGCGCAAAGCAAAAGGTATATTGGCACATATGACTAGATGCTGATTGGTGCACATGTGTTAATGGAGTGACTATAGTGGTTTTGTACAATCCTTTACTTACGCCGTCACCTTTTCTGGATCCGGCGGTGGAGCGAAAGAGAAAGATGGTACATCGGGGGGCACAGAGTAGTGCTGGTGCGAAGTGAACTATTGAAGGCGGCCGACATAAGGTGTTCTTGAGGCCCTTTTCATTTGAGATTTGTCTTGGTCATAGGTCCGTTTATAAGAATTAAAGTAAGAGGTTCAAATTAGTAGTTTCCAATCCTACTCCAAGTGATATCCAAAGGAATTACTAGGCAATAATTGTACTATGATCCAAAATGCACATACGGGGCCCAATACCGCGGGTGCAATCTAGTCTCCTGCTTTGCTAGTCTATTAACTAGTTTAGCTGTGCGCACGTTTGAGACAATACAAGCCTTATTGTCATCACCTAGATCTGTTGAAGTTTCGTTAAGTGTTTGTGAGACATCCATGTTTGTGGCCTAAATCTAATCAGTCACTGACACCAAACGATACTCGAACCCTTACGTTGGTAGTCTCCACACTCGTCTTTGTCAAAGATGAGTCCACTTTGACAAGTGTGCCAATAGTCCTGTTCCTCAGAGTCATCGTTGCCCTATGAAGACCCAGACACACCGCGTCGTCTGAGATCCCTTCATCTTTCAATGTCTGATAGAAAATTCTTGCAACATCAACGCAGTATTCGTCCTGCACATCCCAGAGTGTCCCAACCACGTGACGAAATCCAGCTAATGTGAAACTACTGATGAGGTGAATGTTTTCGTCTGCAAGTAGAGCACTTGCATTGTTGTTTGGGCCAGTTGAGCATGCAGAAAGGTATGCGAGAAATTGTGGTGAGTCGGCCAGAGATGTTGAGCGAACATCTTCAGTGGTAAGAGGATTGGTCTCCCAGTCTCTTAGGAGAATAGAGCTGGCCGACAAGTCTTTATCATTAGGGCCTCCATGTCCTGCAAAATGTAAGATTTGACTGCGGCGAAGTTCGCCCAAGACCTCGAGACGGTTAGGTGATGGTTCAGCAACCGCGATTTTGAGTGACATCATCAGCCCCTTCACCACTCGTATCTCTTCTTCGGCGAAAGGGAGATCATGGTTTTGCCCAAGCCCTGGAGTCGTGCTCATGGATACTAGTGCTGCATGTGTGATGTCTGTTGAGCCGCCCGACTCTTGGTTTGTTCTGGTATGTTGCCTTCTATTAAGAAGAGATTTGAATGAAGTAGCGTAGGACGACATGACTCTGTCCATCGATGTATTGAGTGAGCCATCATCATGCACACCGGCGGCATGTATTGGAAGAAGGCTAAAATATCCCGTGGGTATCCACCAGACTCGTGGATATTTTCCGTTAGGAGGAGCCTTGTCGTATCCAAGCTCTTTGAGCACTGGAGAGACGACCATATCCCATAGCCATTTCAACAGTTCGAAGGAGACGCCAGACGCTCGTAACTGTTTGACCTTCCTTACGACATGCATTCCCTTGACAGGAAGACGAATATGTGATATTTCATCAACGGTGACGAGTATTGCGTCGCATCTCGACTGGCTCCAGTTGAGTACAACGACCGAGCCATTCCGTGCTCCAGACATGAGTTCATTGACGGTGGGCGTGGCAAGGAAATCAGTGAAGTCCGGAAGCTTTCTGATTTCATGAATAAGATTTCGAAATTCATTCACCGCATATTGCCTGTCTATTTTGTAAAGTGCTGGAACACTTTCGGTGGGAGTGGCGGCGACGGTTGTTTGTTTATTAGGCGATACATCGATCACTTCTCGAAGAATGACGAAATCTTTTGCTAAAACTGGATAGGAATCCTGGAGTTGAGAGATGTCGCCACGTAACTCCCTCAGAGAGCTTGCCAATAGGTCTCGTCCAGACTCTAGCAGGCAGAGAGCTTCCGCAGCCGAGCCTCCAGCGTTCAGCACAACTGCTGCTCCAGAGGTTGCTGCGAGGCTAAACTGGGATACCTTCCTTTGCTTGTCAGCATTTTTCATGTGTTGGAGCTCGAAGGACTGTATCAGCTCCATCGTCAGTCGATAAACTGAGCTAGCTTCTACCCAACGCGATTCCTCCTCCATAGCCTGAGCAGCCTCGTGAGCGCAGAATATACGCATTTCCAGGTTTCCTCTCGTGTATTGATAACCACGCCTGAGAATATCAAGAGCTTCTTCTCTGTCTTTGGGATCATGGAGGGCCCTATTTCTTTGCAAGAGTAAATATCCAATATCGTAACAATCGCCGGAAAATTGCGGCTTATCTTGAGAATCAGAGCGATCGCATTTCGCTACTGAGTTGATGATAGCCTTATCGATAAAAGACCACTCTTTTGTGACATCAAATAAAGTTATACAGATGTTTGCAACGCTGCTTGCAGTTCTGGAATCTCCAGGGTTTTTTGCCATGTGTGCCTCTGCCAGGACCATGGCTTGTCGAAGATCCTCTTCTGCTCCTTTTCGATCCGAGTTTTCCATCTTCGATTTTCCTCTAGCCGTATGTAAATCTGCTAAATGCAATGTTACGTATGACCAGGCCTTAGCATTGTCCACGGCCTCAGCTAAAAGTGTTTTTGCTTTGGCAATGCTCTCGTCTAATAGTGCAGAGTCTTTGGTACGACGGTACTTAAGGTTCTGAACTGCGAATAGCGTGTTGATGCAAAGGCAAGTGGAACCTGTAAGGCATTGAACATTCGGTGGATGCTCTTTCATGGCTACCTCCACAAGCTGATATGCACGATCTGCATCGCCCCAAGTTCCACTTGCGTCACTCAAACCGCACCACAAAAAAGCTGGCATCCACGGATCTTTGATGGCCATATAGTTCTTGAACTCATCATAGATTCTGACTGCTCGATGAAGATCTCGGAAGTCTGCATTCTGCTTATAGAAGCGCTGTAAGGCCTTGATAAAAACCTCTCCTAGCTTTTTAGCTAATACCTCGTCCTCTAGACCTTGTCCTGATGGGAACCTTATGAAAGAAACAATCTTTATGAGCCGATCTACAATTTCGATGTTTTCAGTAGCCAGGAATTTGGCGGCGTGACGTTCTATAAGGTCGAGGTACCAGGACACGACCATGGGGTCGTTGGGAAAATTGTTTTGCCAATGATCAAATCCCTGTATGGCATCATCCAAACTATCAGTTGCTTCGAGATCACTGTCTAGATATCGAGTAATGTGAATACTGGATAACATGACATGCCACCGTTGACTTTTTTCTAGTTCTGGTAGCGCGATCTGAAGTGTACGCAGTGGTTCGACGATCTGTTCAACCAGCCCTCTATCATGGGGCCTGTCAAGCAGTGCCTCTAGCTCTCGGGCAAGATGCCTAAACCGTGCAGATATTCCTCCATAATCTTGCCGGTTGGATATCATCAAGCATTCCACGAATACTTTGATAGCTTGTACCACATCTTCTGTACTTGGTTCGATATCCTGCTCCCTTTGTAATATATTGCGAATGCTCAGACTCATCCCTATTACCAACAGTATATGCGATCGAGTCTCTGGTGGCAAAGTTCGTGATGCAGCTCTGCTTCTCCATATTTGAATTGTCTCATCCAAGCTCACACTCAACTGTGAGGGTAGGGGTCGTCGAGGAGCTTTGATTAGTCTTCTTAAGAGCACAAGATCGTTTTCACTTTGTTGCAGGGAGCTTTCCAGTGATAATGATCCAATGTCGGCTTCGACGGCTGGACTAGCTGGCTTCTTACAAGCTCTTTCGGCGAGAACTCTATCTCTGGGCATTTCGTTGTCAAGTTCCATTTCGTTCCATCTTCTTAGTTTGAGCGGAGATCTTCTCAAGTGTTTTCGGCTGGAGTGGTTATTGAGGAGGTGTGGATAACGATGAAGCCAACAAACAGATTGCTGGGTATGGCTTGAAACGATGCACGGCGATAAGGATAAAGATTGCAAACAGAAATGGATGTTTGATAACATTGGACAAATCACAATGCGCCACGTAAATTGCTTACTTGGAGAGTCCTCCCACGATGTTGCACAGCATGACCGGTCAGAAAATGAAGGCAACGCTTGTGAGATTACGATAATTGTAGACGCATGGAGATTAGCCATTTTCCGCATACCGGCAGCAATCGCCTATGGGCGTCGATGCCAGAGAACTCTGGATTTATGTTACATGTACAGGCCTGACGCCTTTTCATATAGCATAGAACTCATATCACCAGGGCGCCTTGCGCTTGAACATGAAAAATGGCATACAAGGCACTTCTTATTGGAGTAAATTACTACAACATCCCGGGACAAAACGATTTACTGGGCTCCGTTCCTGATGTTGAGTTTGTTCACCAATTCATCAAAAAGTCTCGTCCGACTGCGAAAATTACAACGCTTACATCCAGCAAAGGGCCAGGTCCAACACGGGGAGCACCCGCAGAAGATCCCAAACTATGGCCGACACGCGAAAATGTGATTTCAAGCCTTGAGATTATATTGGACGAATCAACGGTGGGAGATGCTGTATACATCCACTTTTCTGGCCATGGGACAACCATTCCAGACCCAGAATCTGCTTCGCGCGCACACGGCCACCTTGCGCTGGTTTTATTCAGTAACACAGGCGGGGAATACTATCTCCGGGGTGAAGAGCTTGCAGGAATTCTCAATCGCATGGTCACCAAGGGTGTTCTAGTCTCGTTAGTCCTCGACTGCTGCTTTGCTGGAAGTGTCGCTCGCTCCAAACACGGCTGGGATTCCCTTCGCGCGGTACCCTACGATCCAAGATTGAATCCCAGAGCTACTGTTCATTTAGGCAACCAGTTTGTAGGCGATGGGCTTCGCGGCGCGCGAATTCAGTCTAAATGGCTCACTCACCCAGAAGGCTATGTGGTCCTTGCCGCGTGTGGCCCTCAAGAGGAGAACAAAGAGGTCCAAGTTGGGGACCGGAAGTATGGCATGTTGACATTCATCCTTGTCAACGCCCTTGAAACCCTATTGAAGAAGGGCATAGAGGTCACGTATCGCTCCCTGTACGACCTAATCCGCACTGAATTCCACGTGCGCTGTCTCAGCCAGGTCCCAATGCGATACGGAAACGAAAATTTTACCTTCTTTGGGATACCATATTCTGAGTCAGAAGTGGCCTTGATACCCGTGTACAAACTGGCCAATGCTGACAACCTACAACTAGCTGCGGGTGCAGCGCATGGACTTGTAGCCGGAGATGAGTTCGCCTTGTACCGTCTCTATTCATCTCAGGATGCTCGATCATTTCAGAGACAACCGCCAATAGAGAAGACCAAAATAATTCAAACAGATAGTCTCACATCCGAGCTGGACGTGATTAACCCCAAGAATTACACACCGGGCGCTGTTGCGAAAGCGAAACTCCTGACATCCACGGCGCTTACAAAGGCCGTGGTACGACTTTCGGATACCATGCACAACCGTGACCAGTGGATCGAGTCGATTTCAAGCAAAGCGTTCATAACAACGGAGATCACAGAGTTGCGAGGCTGTTCCGCGTTCAACTTGATAAACAAAGACGGGGATTACCACATACAGTGGGATTCGCTAGAGCCAGTTCTAGGCACACCGATAGTCCCGCAGGACCAAACTGATGCGATGGCCTCTGTAGTTGCCGCGCTGGAACATCTTGGCGCATTCAAATACTTTGAATCAATCCGGAATCGTGCAGAAACAGCGGAATGGGTAAAAAAGTTTCAAATAACGGCTAAGAGCAACGGTAGTTCCACGGCTCGTCAAAACGGAATACTGCAGCTCAGTGAATTGGATCACATCAGTATACGTGTGCAGAATTTGTCTAGCGAGCCATTGTATTTTGCAATCCTGAACCTTACTCCGTGTTGGGAAATTGTGAACGTATTATCAGACGGAGGAGAAGGAGGATTCATGGTCATTCCACCTCACGAAGTGGATGAATGCGAGTTAGAGATGGAGATACCAGAAGAATTCAAGGTGCAAGACATACTTTCCTGCCAGGATGTTCTCAAGATATTCATCACTAGCCAGCCGACCTCATTCGCTTCACAGCTCCTTCCTAAGCTAACCAGGAGCAGCAGTGGCTCCCGCTCGAGCATGGCAGAGTACACTAGGAGAATTCGAAACTCGATTCATCAGCTGGGAGATTCAAATCGGAATCCGTCGCGAAATACCGAGTATTGGTCGACTCAAGACTTTATTGTAAAAACTTCTCGTAGAGCATAGAATAGAGCGAGCTTGAGAAATGAAACCATTAACCAGGCAAAAGAGATTCCACCGCAAACTTCTTTCCACCAAGAGCAGTGGTTCCTTTTCCATCATCGAGGCATAGTGTGTATTGTCCCGTACCAGCATCAAAGGTTTCGACAAGGTAAGGCCCGTCTTTTGCTGTTTCAGATAATTTGATAAATACCCGATCGCCAGGCTCAAATGGAGAACTCTGTAAGAGTTAAAGCCATTTCTTTCGATATGAGTTTTAGTTGTACGTACGCTGGTGCCCCGTTTGATCCATGGGCGTGTGGGCTTGTCATCAACTACAAACTGAGGCAGTACATCATCCCTATATATAACGTTAAAGCGTTTTCAGGTGCATGAGTGTACGCTTACTCCTCGAGGAGACTCATGATTATGTATATCTAAAGCTTATATAGATAGTAGGTAAGGCGGCAACTCTTGCGGAAGTCTATAGGAGTAGGTATGATACACGCACTGATAATATATAATAGCAGCAGCGGCCTAGCTGAAATCTGCAAAAGCCATCTACTCTGATTCCGGTCAGGAGTGAGAGCGGGGTAATATGCGCAAGGCAGATTTGGACGAAAGAATCGATCGATTAGACGATAAGTGACCAATAGGAGTAACGAGGGTAATCAGTAGTGCCTAAAAGCTAGAGAATGTTGTACTACATCACATTCAAGCGCCATCTATACATCGAGGTAGCTGCGTGCAGGCCTTGCTATTGTATGAAATCTCTCTGAGAAAGGAAGATACCCTAGTCAATTATCCACACAGTGGTATCCCTTCTCTGAGCCTACAATGGCCATGAATATTGAAGAATGAAAGAACGGAGCGGCGAGGCTGAATGAGCCGGTTGATGACGCCAAAAGGCTGAATAGATAGACGTGGCAAGGCAAATTCATGCAGGCTCTAGCTAACAGTGCCCAGGTGTTCCACTTCTAGTGGCTGCCCTACAGCAATGCAAGAAAGATACATCTAAGCATCATTCCATCCAGGAATTTAATTTCAGATGATTCCTCCTACGCAGGACAATGTGCTAGTTGGGAAAAACTGTTCTAGGACAATACCTTTCAAGTCATGGCACAAGTCTGTACAGCTACAGATATCGAGCTAGCCAGCCCTATCGACGGAGGAAACTACAAATACCCGACTACTTATTTTTGTCTCGCTAATTATCTACAGCATTTGCACCTGCTATAGCAAGCCCGAAACGGCACTATTCCCTGTTCAACCGTATAAAAGCCCTCCTTACTTCCAAATCAAAAACATCCTCGCAGCAGACTGAACGCCAAAGTATTTCGCTTGTCACTAGCAACCCTTGCCCCATAATAGCACCCACTAATTGTCCCTTAGTTGAAGACTACCGTTTGGGTTACCCACAACTCTCCGCCCTTATCGCCGCAGACAGCTGCTTCCACATTTGCCGTCGTTTCTCCACACTACGCGCCCGACTCCTGCTACTCAAGCAGGACAAGATATCTTTCCTTGAGCAGCAGCTTGAAACCACCGATCACGATGAGCAAGCCCCACTATTCCTCAGTTGCAGCCGGCTGGATCAAAACAGTAAAAGACTTGCCTTGTTGTCTGAAATCGACGCAAGATTAGCAGATTACGGTAATTACAACCATCTATCTTGTTTCTTTTTCCTATCAAAGAGAGAGAAAGAGAGAGAGAGAGAGAGACAGTATAGTTTGAGGCAGAAGCGCTGATGGATAGTGTGTGTGTGTGTGTACTTAGATGCATTTGTCAAACGAGGAAAAGACATTCTAGCTTTCGACAAAGCACCCAACCGCAGCATCCAGAGTCTGAGAAACTTTATCGCCAACACTGCGTGCCTCGGTCGCAACGAACGCGAATACTTGGCCCAGGAGCGTGATCTGATGACGCTGGGCCCGGAGAAGGAGTCTGGTGTGGAAGCGTTGGAGTACTGCATCGAGGACTGCATTGTATCCGTCATTGACCGGTTTAAAAAGGTTCGTGGGCCACTTATCTCGCATCGTGGCGTGCGGCTTGTTGCCGCATTTTGTTTTTTTCGCCTAAATTTCCCTCAAAGACATTGGTATAGTACTACTAAACGGCGGTGCAGGGTCCGAAAAGATGCATCTCCCGCGACCCTAATATCTTCATCTTCAACGTCTCACACAGCGCGACCATAACCCGCTTTCTCGTTGCGTGTATCGTCGTCGCTGTCCTGCTTGCACCGGTTCTTCTCTGCAGCTTACTAGAGGGAGAGAAGAGTCGTATGATGGTTGTTGTTTTTGCAACTGTGCTCGTGGTTGCCATGTTGTCGATGCTGGGCAAGACAAATACGGTGTCGCTTTTCATCGCTGGTACTGCGTAAGTGCTAGCTCCGCCGTTTAGTGATACATGGGAGTAGCCAAACTGATTTTAGAATAGATATGCAACAGTGCTAGTGGTATTTGTATCGGAGCAATAGAATAAGTATGTTGAAGATGAAGGTCGTGGGGTGGACTTTTGTGGGTAGCTAAGAGTCTGTTTGATTGTGCGTTTTGTGATAATTGACTGGGTTGGTTATGCGGTAGTTCTCTAAAGTAGCTAGATACAGGATATTTAGCTTAGAAGTGGCGCAGTGGTTAAACAAGAAGAAATTAAGAAAGCCTCTTTAGTGGTATAGATTAAAAGTCGAAGAGAAATTTAGCTTAACTACCAAGCTTGTCATTAAAATCTAGGAATTAGATTTCAGTATTAAAAGGGAGAGATTCAGACTCTTGACCTTACAATTTGTTCAGCATTGTAATAAAAAGAATTCAGCATCCCGTTGAAAACCGTCACGATACTCCGAACAAGAGGTAAACTCAAAAGAATACTTCACTCTTCACTGGCCCCTAGAACATCTCCATGTTCCTCTACCCCCACTACTTCTCCAGCCCAGACCGATTCCAAACTCCTACAAGCCCCTCCTTGCTATCCCCCAACACCGGATCCTTATCCGGCACAGGCACCGTCCACACATGCTCTCTCCCCCTCTCCCCTCCAACGCTAAAATCCCAGACGCCACCATACGGATACGCCCCCATCATCATAAACTGCGCCCGAATCGGGACCGTCTCGAAAAACCTCCTCCGCTCTTGCTCCGTCTTTTCATTTACCTCGGCTGCCCTACCCTCAGCAACGTCTTGGGGCTGATGAAATGCCAAATCGCTCGACTCTGGTCGCGGGGCGAACGTCTTATGCGCCACGCCCGCGGGAATGATGAAGACATCGCCAATCCGTGCTTCAATCTCAATCCCGCCTTCCTCGCCATGCTCACCCCTTTCACCCGGCGCGTACATACCAGGCTTCCAATCTGGCGCATCGGCAACCCCAAAGCGGATTGTGGCGCCCGCACCCGAGATGACGGTCATGGCTTCGTGGGTGGTGGAATGATAATGAGATTGAATGTCTGCACCGTACTTTGCGATCCATTGGGTTTGCCACCCGTTTTTGGCGTAGAGATCTGTGAGTTGGGTGGGGGTGAAGGTGGGGGATGTGACGGTTTCTTTCAAGAGGCCTGGGTAGTGGAGGAGGGGGTGGGGGGAGTTTGGGATTCGAGGGGTTGGGGCGATGATGTAGGATTTTGCATTTATGGGCATGATGGGTGGAAGGGGATAGGGTATTGTAGGGTAGGTTGGAGACGGATGGATGGATGGGTGGTGTGGTTGAGTGGTGTTGAGACGGGTAGGATTACCCGAATGGGATAGACGGCATGGGGGGGGTGACGTAGGACTTTACATTTTAAAGTACCGAGGGAAAAGGGTATGAATATTTCTTCGTGACAATCCGTTTTTACATTATGATGTTCATCTCGTATATATGAAACTGACAAGAATATTGGATTTCTAAAGAACATCTCAGCCATCATAATCATTTCCTTTTCGACTTTGGGGATGCAGAGGAGATTTCGCGTTTTAGTGTCGAAGAAGCTTTCTCCAATCTCTCTTTAACTACTGCACTAATTTGTAGACTAAGATACCGTGTTTAATCACTTCAAATTAACCGTACCAGCTAACACATGAGTGATCATACAACCATCCACACTCAAAATTCCAGCGCTACCTTGCCAACAGCCTTCCCCCCCTCAATAATCTCATGCGCCTTCCTCACCCCCTCCTCATCCAGCTTAAGTTTCTGCATACCATGACACTTGACCGTTCCCTCATCTAGCATCTTTGCCAAATCCTTCAATATCCTACCGTGGCTTTCAACATCAACGCCATAATACGGCTTCGTACCCAGCAGAGCCCAAACAAACGTCAGACTCTTCGCCATAAACTCCGTAGCATACATGGGTATCTCCTTGTCCTGAACAATCGAACAGACTTTGCCAAAAGGGACGCATATTTTTGCTGCAGGGGCGAGGTAGCCCGATGTAGGCGTGTGGGTAATGAATACGTACTTAATTGGTACGTCTAAGTTGAGCTTCTCGAGCTCGGTAGGAATATCCTCGTGGTGATTGATGGTGTGTGTAGCACCTCCCACATCTTTTGAAAACTTGACTGTTTCGTCTCGCGATGCCGTGGTGACTACAACGGGTAGATTAAGGACATGCCGCGCGATCTGGCTGGCGACGCTGCCGACACCGCCTGCACCGTTGATGATGAGGATGCCGGCGTTTTCGCCGCGCTGGATCGCCATGCGTTCGACGAGGGCTTCGTAGGCTGTTATCCAGGTTAGGGGCATGGCGGCGGCTTGGCCCCAGTCTAAGCTTGCTGGTTTGAGCGCGACGGCTCGGGAATCTACGAGCTGGAATTCTGCATTGCTTCCTTGGCGGATGGGTGAGCCGGAATAGTAGACTTCATCGCCGGGCTTGAAATGGGTGACTTCGGAGCCTACGCTCTCAACTATGCCAGCGCCGTCAAAGCCGAGGATTTGAGGTAGACTGGGGGTGCGGTCGTAGTAGTCTGGGTAGTCATCATAGATTCCTGCTCGGACTTTGGTATCGACTGGATTGACAGAGCAGGCTTTGACGCGGACGAGTATGTCATGGCCTTGGGGGTCTGAGGGGGTTGGGAGATTGATTGCTTCTATATTAGATATTGGACCGTATTGGGTGACTGCGATGGCATGCATGTTTGGAGAAATATTGGAATCATGTAATGAAAAATATTCTAAAACTGAAACGAGATGTGCGTGTGATGTTGTGTGCAGTGCTTGGCTGGGCCATTGCTATATTGATGTTGGAGGCTGCTAGGATCCACTGTAATGAAGACTCGAAGTAAGGATGAGAATATGGCATTGGCTGCTCGTGACGTCACTCGGATCCTTGCAGATTGTAACAGTGAGGTATTGAGGTTTCAATGACAGATAGATGGTCGCATTACAGCATTCTGACGCTCCTTGCTGTCATGGCCATGGGGGGTGGGTTGAGCTGGAGTGGTGTTGATGAGTATGGGCTTATGCGGTCGTGTAGTACAAGGCTAATACGTGGAAAAGACAGTGTTGAAATATGCAAGTTGGCCGACTAGTATTGGATGAAATTTCCATGCCGGATGTTGATTGCTTACTGGTGGCAGCAGCATCATGCTGTGGCTGCCATGGCGCAACGCCACACAAGCACGAGCCTGGAGCTTGTTGCAGAGTTTTGTGCAGTGAAGGACCGAAGAGAGTCGAGTGGGTAGATGCAGGCCGTGGCCAGCTGTACATACATATAGACATGGGAGGATACATGTACTTATGTATGCATGCCCGATGGCTCCGAGTCTAGAAGAGCGAGGGAAAGGCCTGGAATGGGACTGGGAGGTGAAAGCACATGATTCAAGGTGAATGCGGGCAGCCGTAGGGGGGTGTGCAGGACGGACGAGGGGAAAGAGGGGGAATGCATGGAACTGGCGCAGAATGGTCGGGATGAAGAGAATGGCGTCGTGGTTGAGGCGAATGAGGAGAGTGCGGAGGTGCTGGGGGCATTGACGGTGTCAGCGCCCGCCCAGCCGCTCTACGCCCAACGACAGGGAGTGTTGAATTGACGTAGTGAGTATGCACCATGCCACCGAGAGCAGCAATTGACAAGCAGACGCACGCTCGTGGAGAGAGAGGAGAGGAATGGGATTGCATCGGCTTGACAGTAGCAAGTATAGTAAGTATAGCATGTCGCAGCGGGGACTGGGCGGGCCACGCAGCACAGCACAGCACGGCATGGTATGGCATGGCATGGCATGACACGGCATGCAGGCCCAGACCGGTGTGCGCATCGACACACAGACACACAGACACACAGCGACACAGACACAGCACAGCGTGGTAGGCATAGGCGTAGTAGGCGTAGGCGTAGGCGTAGGCGTAGGCGTAAGTAGCTCCCTTGCCTGCCCTTCCCCTGCCCTGCATTTCCTCGCCCACACCCCCCTTGGCTGCAATTCTTCCCTCGTCGTCCGCCCCGCTTCCCTGCCACGACGAGACAATTGCCAACGACGATAAAAACCCCATCGGCATCCACGGCATCCACGCCTGCCGCTACCACACTCACCGCCTCACCGCCTCACCGTCCACCGTCCACCCTCCCCCAGCTGTGCGCCCGCTCTCCTCTATCGTGAACGCCGGCCTTGGCGCTGCACCTTCCAGGCTACCTGCGTCACCACCACACCATCTCGTCGACAGAGCCCACGACCAACCGCCCTGCCATCGCGGCCCCCTACATAGCCGCCAGGCACCGCTGGCCCCCTCCCGACGCCGCCGCCGTTACACGTAACCACGAGCCCCCCTGCCCTCTTGCGCCCCGACGCCATGGCCTCGTCCTGAAGCCAGACCAACTGCCACCTTGCAGCGGCCACCAGGGTCCACCACCAGGCACACGACGACCGACCATCGCCATCATCCTCGCGCCGACATGGCCGAACCCGCGCCTGGCGTCTATGCCCGTCTCGAGTCGGCCTTCAACGCTGCTCCCAATCTCCGCCAGTCCAAACAGCTCCCGCGCCGCAGTGACCCAACCCGTCCAGTTCCAGCATCCCTCGAGCGCGACGACTCGTATGCCTCACAGTCCACCGACGACAGCGATTCCACCGTCTGCAGCCAGGACAGCACCCTGCTCGCCTCGCCGGGAGGGCTGAATGGAGCAGACAGCGGCCTCCCGCCTACACCACCCACGGCCTCGCAGGATGGCAAATCTTCTCCCGCCCCAGAGCAGCAGCAGCAGCAGCAGCCGCCGCCGCCCCATGCCGACAGCGTGAGAAATTCCCTTATATCACAAAAGTCGTCCCTCAGCACCCCCGTCAATGCCAGAAGCCCACCAACACCCGATCCAAGTCCGCCGCGAAGAAACGTTTCTGAAGGCTCCAACGCCACCCTCGAGCGCCCGCCACTCTATACGTATCCCTCGTCTCGAGCCACCTCGTTCCAGACGGCAAGAGAAGAGCCCATCTCCTCGGACCGCGAAGAAAGCACCTGTGCAACACCACCCATTGACAGGCTCAGCACCGTCCAAGAAGACCACGGACTCGGTCTTGCTTTTGAACAAGACAAGAATGATGTCACCCCAACTACCCTGCAAGCTCCCTCCTTCCCCGTTACCCCTACTAAACAGGTGGATACAGCCAAAGATGTGGGTACGGTGGATACAACCCCCGACCAGGCATCCCCGACCATGGACGAGATCCCAGACCGCGAATGGAACACAGAGCTAATGCGCAATGTTACCGTCCGGAAGAAGCGCAGGCCGCAATCAAAGTCTCCTCGCAAAACACCCGAGCCCGCCGTCACCGTTGTCGAAACCGCCTCACCCTCTCCCACCAGAGCCCGACGTGCCTCGAGTCTGCGCAAACGCGTCCAAGTCGGCCACAGCAGCCCGACTACGCCATCCGTCGAAAACTTTGCGCAATCCATTGGCTGGCCCTCCGAAAACAGGCGCATGTCATCAGAAAAGCAGCGCGAGGCCAGCAGCAAGCGGCTGTCGACTGCGTCAGTAGCCTCGACTGTAGTGTCGGCCCAGGTCATAGTCACGCCGCCCCAAAGGAAGCAAACCCTGCGACACTCTGGCAAGAACATGGCATACAGGAGAGACCTGAGCTCCTCGACAGATGTTGGCTCCCTCACGCATTCGGACCGCAGCTCCATTGTGTCGCAGGCCGACAGCGCTCCGGTCCATCGTTTGGTGCACAAGAGGACAAGCATTGCTGACCGGAATAGCAGAAGCAGTGTTGTGTCGGACATTTCATCATCGCATCGCATCATGTCGCCTTCATTGTCACTGCGACATAGGACCATTGACAGCTCGGCACACACACTAGCACACCAAGAGTCTATCCGCCACGTGCTGCAGCCTGCGGCCGACATATTGAGTAGACACAGTGCAGCAGCGAGGCTGAGTGGGAGCCATCACAAACGCATCAACTCTGCCCCTGAAACTGCAAGACGCACGATTCGATCCACCAAGCCTCGTAACTTTTCAGAAATACTGCCTTCTGCGAGTCCGCACCAGGAGAAGAACCCTTTCACTCAGCCACCCGTGCTTCCAAGCGCACCATCACCGCCGATATCGCCAAAGCCACGTCAAATGTCACCAACGTCGAGAAAAGTTAGACAATCGCTTGTTGTCACTGATCCGAATCTACCAACTGGAATTGAAAATGACCCTCCTAAGCTGCCCAGTCCAGATAAAGATGAGCCCGTTGAGCGCGATGTCTTCGTTGGTGCCGGTAACCCTGTGGAAGAAGCCCAGGTGCCATCTGCCATGCTCGACCGGGTCCGACGTCTTCTTGGGGACCGCGAAACCGCCGAAGGCGCCACTCTGGTTGCTGCCTCCAACCCCAATCCTGCCACACTGGAGAACCTAAACAAGTTCCCGCCCCTCAAGGATGGATCGCCCATTATGCGACAAGGCTCACGTCCTTCAAGACCAGCCTCTCGCGCGTCAAGACCGGGCTCATCTCGACCAGGTTCCTGGGACCCAAAGCGATTCTCACTCCCCTTGGACCGTTCCTCAGCCTCGCCTGATTGGCACCGTTACTCGGGTGACCAGAGCCGTGTCAGCTTCGATCGGTCAGGCTCACGTTCAGCTTCACGGACCGAAGAGCACGCCATGGCTCGACATCTCTTTTCCCAATCCACCCCGTTTTCTCAGTTTTCCGACACGGTCGAAGTCACTGAGGCCACTGCTGTGAGCATCTTTCCCCACAACAACAACTCTCTGCTTGTCGTGCAGCAGCTTGCTCGGGGAAATTCGATGCTGCAGGAACAGCGCCAATTGACCGGGGCTTCACATTTGACCGCGCAGGATCCTCGTATTACACCAGCCGTGGCATCACCTCCTGCGACTAGTCGACAAAAGAGCAATGAAGAACAATCACAGCAACCGACCTTGACTTTCGAGCCTTCGACCCCTCCAATGCAGACTGATCCATTACACGCCAACCCTGTCGAGTCGCCGCTTGAAAATCCCCGAGATCCCCCAGAGCCGCCCATGATTAACTTTATTCCTCCAACGCCTATGGAGGAACTGGACAAGCCAATGGCTCCATCACCTGGACCGCCTCGTCGTTCCGACTCGAATCCACAACGCCGCTTGTCTGTTCTGCAGCGAGCGCGCCGCTATTCTGACAACCTCATTACACCGCTGTTGACTCGCAAAGGGGCCAGCCGTGCACGTGACGATAATGACGAGGAAAAGCTCGCGTACCGTAATCCCCAGGCCTCTACTGTCAACGACGAGGACGGCACACTTCATCCCTTTTGGCGCCCCCGCGGCTTTTGGGATGAATTCTCCGAGAGTGAGGATGACGGCGAGGAAGACGAAAGACTTCCACAAGGAGGCGACACAAGTGACGTTGGAGATCCAGAGCCGGAACCAGAGGTACCAAGACGAGCCAATACTCTTAAAAAGCTAAAAGGCGGCCTTCGCGGATCGGGTGGTTTCCTTATTGGCAACTCCCTTGGTGTTGAGCGCCACGGCACGAATAAACGTCGACACCATGTCAATCTTCCGCCACACATTGCTCAGTCTCTTCTTTCATCTAGTGATGGATCCTCGTCCTCGCCCAAACTCGGCATTCAAGCTCCTACGCAACCTTTAGGGCGGCATGGCGGCGGCCGCATCACCAAACGCCGCTCCAACCACGATCTCCGCCGCACTTCCTCTGTGCCTGACAACCTCTCAATCGAATACGAGCAGTCTCGCCGTCGCCGCGGCACATGGAGACAAGGCAAGAGTATTCCAGGTTTGAAGAAGTACCACGTTCAATACATTGGAATCTCTGGAGTCAAAGAGAAGATCAAGGAACGCCGCACAGAGAAGAGGAGGGAGAAGATTAGACGCAGTATTGGACACAGGTACTATGTCGACCCCGTGACGCCTGACTCGCCCATCTCACAGTAGATGAGGAAAAAGAAAGAGAGAGAAAGAGAGAGAGCAATGGGCATGGGGGAGCAAAGGGTGGATTTGTCACTCTAAAGCCACCACTACTCCAGCTTCTTGTCTTGTTTTTGCACTTTTGGATACCACATGATTTTCCCCGCCATTTATAACCGCCTCAACAACCCTGCTTTTTGTTTTTGTTTTGCCTATTTGGCAATATGAACGCACATATATATCCCTCTTTTTTGTTTTTTTTTGTTTTTTTTTTGAACCCGCAACCCGCATTTTACGACCATTAACGACTCTCTCATCATCAATCTCGCTGCCATTCAACCGCTTGGATACCTTAGTTTTGATGGATTGTTTATTTGTCTTTCAGCCATATACTTGCAGCTAAGGAGGGGGCGGGGAGGGGAGCTTGCCCCAACTGCGGGACTGCCCGTTTTATTCTATTTTTTATCATCATACCAAGTTTCTAGTAGTATAATAATACTTTTACCTTCTTCCGTCTGTTTGTTACCTGCACACTATTTTCAATGGCATGGTGAATGAAGAAGAAGGAATGGAATGAACTACTGGTTGGTTGATTTGGATCCTAATCGCACGGCGAGAAGGAATCATGGTTGACTATTTATTGCATCTTTCTGTTTTTTCTTCTGCTCTGCTTTGCTTTGCTCTTTACTGGCGCAACATCGCTAAGAGAGTTCCTTTGTCATATACCTGTTTGGCTATGCAGACTTCCATTTGACCAATTCTACTTTGGAAATTCCGTTCCCGTACAATCAATCTGGTTTCCAGACCCCGAACCGAACTTGAAGTTCGGAAGAAAAAAAAGAAGAACAAGAACAAGAAGAAGAGAGACGCAGCCAGGGCTAACTTGGATCTAGAAGAGACGCAAGAGAGCTACAAGAAACAAGTTCGCATGGGCTTGAGAAGAAGAAAAAAAAGCCCAAGGGACAAGAACAAAATTCCTCTCTCCTTGAAAACCCTCCCTCCCCACCCCTTTCATCCTTGATGGGGGGGTTTGGTTGATATCATATAATGAGCTTCCCGTTGATATGTGTCGCCGTAAACTCCTAGCCAGAAACAAGAAACCTCACCCACCCAAAAAGGCGCCCTCTATCCACACAATGGTAAGGGAAAGCAGAAAAAAAAAGGGAAAAGAACTAACCAAGGCAAAAATGACAAGCAGAAAGTTAACTTACCCATTCGGAACTTTGTTATACAAAGGAAAACATGCCTGTTGTGTGGCAGCGAGAAAGATAGTGTGTCAGAGAGATACACCCAAGTAGCGCTCTATACCGATTAAATCTTCCTTCGGACAGTGAATTTGCGCTCCATGGTTGCAGCAGGGAGAGCGTCGGCGAAACAATCACGCGCTAGAACTCGACGTTAGCTTCTTATCCTCATTCTGTCTTGGAAAAGGTCCAAGAAAACACTTACTCTCTGCAGAGTCAAACATGATGAGAATATCGTCATGTTCACCAGGATATTCAATTTCATCCAAGCACACAAAGCGCCTCTTGACACCAGACCATCCTGTCAATCTGCCTTCGGCTTTTTGGATCTTGCCCTCGCCTCGGCGTTCATCCACGGGCAGCGCAAACTTGGCATCGACGAGCTTGAGACCAAACTTGCCTCCCTTGTCCGACTTTTCAAATGTGTCAGTCAGACGGAGTTGGAAGTTCATGGCATCGGCGTGCGAAAAGTCTTCGAAGAAGGCGAGGAGCTGGATAATGTTGTCTTGTTCGACAATCTGGAGACGAAGGCGGGTAGCGGTCCACTGCTTGTAGATGGGAACGACCATGCGACGACGCGAGATAGAGAATGAAGCTGCGAGCCCGTCAAACTTGACCTGGAACCCAGTCACAGCGAGCTGGAAAGTATGCAAATCATTAAACGAGTTAAAAGCCAGGCGTCGAATCGTTGAAGCGCTCGTGAGCGTCTGGAGTAACTTTGCGAGATCTTCAGTAACAGCGGGATCGGTTCGACTGCCATCAATGGCAACGGCCATGTCTTGCTGGGGCTCGCGGAGCAGTGTAAGTTCAGGAGAACCGTCGACTGGAAGGCGAACCAAAAGTTCACCCGGACCTAGAATCCGTTAATCTTTGCCCACATCTACCCAGAAAAATGGCGCAAACTTACCCAAGTTCAAACGGTCAGAGACAATACCTGCGGTATGTCTGCACATGATCCTCAAGCTCTCGCTCATGACAGTAGGCGCCGACTCCAATCCTGCAGCCTCAGGATCTTGATTCATCACCTTGGCCTCGACCCACTGCAACTTTTCTAGTACGCGACTCCCGTTTTGGCTGAAGCCCTCTGTCTCGTCGGCACTCTCAATGTGGAATCCCTTGAGCGCGACCTGAGCAAAAGTGGTTTCACCAGGCGCAACATTCATAGAAGTGAATGTACCAAAGAGGTTGTTGCGATCCTTGCTTTCTTGGAAGACTAGGTGGGCCACGCACATCCTGAACTGCTTGTTCGGCCCCTCTTCGCGAAAACGTAGTCTCAGGGCTGGAGCTTGGTCTGGCTCAGTGACGTATTCAAAGTTCATGGGCTCCTGCTTCGTTCCAAGCTCATGGTTAACCAAGCTGACTTGTTTGTGCTGCTGCGGCGTGACCAGTACCATTCGGTATCCTCGGTGCAGTTTCCTCTTTCCAGTACCTTCACTGCTACGTTCAATCCTCTGGAACACTAGTAGCCTACAGCCTGGTACTCGTTCCTGTGAGAACATGGATGGATTTGCTGGGTCCTTGTACATGGCTTCGCGGAGGTACATCTTGCACGCGAATCGTTCGTCTCTTCGCTCTCGTAGATCCGACTCTACCCGGCTAGTGTGATTGACAATAGACCACAGACTTCGGAAATCCGCTTCATGCAGGGCAAGCGTAAGAAGAAATCCATGTCGTAGCTGCACAGTAATCTGGTTCATTTGTTGTTTCCAGTTGACGTCTCTCCATGTGATGGCTGAGCCCGGGCCAACCAGGATATTGATTAGACTATTTTGACTGCAAATAGCGAGCTTGGCCGAGTATTCCTCCTTGGGTCGCAACACGGACAAGACGACGTTCATTGGCACGCGATCTGTGGCAGGGTCATCGGTTGATAACGAAGCTTTGACAAACATGCGGAAGTAGCAAAATTCGGTTTTGGTGTCGGAAAGAGGAATGTACTGCGAAAGGCTGACCTGTTGCTGACCGCCGGGCTGGCCGGCGAGCCCAGAGCTGAGTATAGTGGCAGCATCGGGAGCAAATGATGGGTATTCTTCCCATATCGCCTGGTCCTGGCCCTGGATGAGGGCCTGTGTAGGAGGCATGCTATGGTGCTTCTTCATCGATCCGACCAGCAACTTCATGTAGTGGCCAATGGCATTCTGGATGTCGTAAACCTCTGCGCCCGCAGCATCACCTGCCTGTCGAGCGAGTTCGACTTGGGCGTCAGGAGATCCATCGCCGTACTTTTGCAGGCCAGGGTGGTTCGGGAGGACTTTAGTTATAATCCACCACACCTTGGCCAAATCGACGTGAGGCTGGGCGAGTCGCTCCTGTGGCGGCTCGGCGGACTTGTGTTGGCTCCTAATAAGATTTTCCATTCCAGTACGCCCTTTTAGAAACCACCAAGTGGCGACTCGAAGCCATTGCATAGGGGTGTGATTGTAAATGTTGCCACCAAGCTGGGCTGTAAGCTCAAAGATGCCCCTCATGTGGGTTACGCGCTCGGCAAAGTCGCGATATGCCAGTTCATTCGCAGATTTTGTGTCGGAGCGAGCGAGTGAGGTAGCAGGTTTTGTGGATCCAGAAGCACTGCGTGATGCCATTTGAGCACCTGGTGGCCCTGAGGGCATTGCAAGCGCTGCGGGTATCGAGGACGGTGGCGAAGACTGTTGTTGAAAAGTTGATGTTCCTGCCAAAGGTTGAGGCGGGCTGGAGACACGAGGCATTTCATCAAAAGCTTGAGGATGGGGTTTGTTGGCGGCCGAGGCTGCTCGTTGCATGGACGAGTTGGAGAAAGGATCGGATCGAGAAAGGGGTGAGGCGGGGGTTTGTGAAGCGACAGAAGGTGTATACTGCGGTGAACCTGACGAGGGTACGCGCGCGTCCATATCGTGCGGGTATGCCAGTGGTCTCTGTCCGGGAGATGGCCCACGGGCTCTTGATCGTTGGGGGTCTTCAGTCTCAAGCCCTCTGCGTGGTGATGTCCTCGAGTCCATGTGTGCGTTGCTGAGGGGCGTCCCTGGAACGGAGCGCTGTGAGCTCTCTTCTGAATCCCGCCGTTCGCCGGATGCTGCACGCTGCGCGGCCTCGTGTAAGGTCCTACCCTCCTCTGAACGCATTTTTTGCTTGACTCTTGCCGCAAAAGAAGCATGCGCATCATCTTCCTGTCCAATTCCATGAAGGTCGGGCATTTGCGGAACTGCAGGCTCGTCATCGAGTTGCTGACCCACGGTGCTAAAGCCAGTCTGGCTGCGCTTGAGCGACTTTGGTCGGAAATCATCCTCCTCCTCTTGAATCGTGGGCTCCCGTGCAGACATTGCCTTGGATACGACGGGCGAGAGATTGTCTGAATCTTGCGAGTAGGTCGAGTCTTCGCTCGACCGCCTCGTGGGCTGGTGCATTCCGGGTTCTATTATGGAGTCGAAACCAGTAGGCGCGCGCAAGAGGCCCTTGGGACGTTCGCCGAGGCCCATGGGGCCCAAGTGTCGCGGCGGGGTGGGAGGGAGCTGTGCGGTGGTGGTGATTTGGCCGAGCTGCATCTTCTGGTTCAGAGGAGGGGACAGCTCGCCGGGATTTGTGCGTGTCCTGGTAAGGTTTGTCTTGTACTCTGTCTGTGCCTGTGACCTGTATTCCGTCTGTGAAGGGGCGCGGCCAATGCCATTGAGGCGGGGGCTGGGAATGGTGTCGTGCTGCGGCACCTCGGAGGGCAATTGCTCGACGGCGGGCACATTCGCGAGCTTCTTGTTCTTAGCTACCTCGATGGCGGGGTCCTCACACTCGTCGCCGCCGTGGCCTATAATGTCTGGGACGGTGCGCACAAAAGCTACGGTGAGGCCCTTTTTGCGCGTGCCCGACTTCAAGCCCCCCGGACCTGGACTCTTTGCTGCTGCGCTGTTGAGAATGGTTTGGGCACCAGGCCAGCGCTGGGCACTGGCAACATCTATGCGGGGGCGGTTGAGAAAGGCGGCGGCTGCAGCAGCGGCGGCCTCTTGCTGTTGCAGCTGCTGGGCGGCACGGTCTGTCGAGGGCTTGAGGAAGGCGCTGAGGTCGTCGTTGTCAACCTTGTTGTCGACGGCCTTGTTCTTCGCGTTGGCGGCGGCGAGCTCGTTGGTCTTGTCGAGAATCTTGGTCTTCCAGCGGCTCTTTGAGAAGAGCTTACTGGCGGGTTCGTGTGCTTCCACCATGGTGCTGTGTGCACCCGCGACTCGGGGCGGTGGAGGTGGAGGTGGTGGTGGTGGTTAGAGGTGGGGGGAAAGTGGCACAGGGCCGGCGAGGCGTAGTGGAGGGCGTTTGTGAGAGAGCAATGTGGTCGCGTGCGTGGTTACAAAGGCAGCGAGGTAGTGAGGTGGCTTCGACGTGCCGTCCAGGGCTCAATTGGCGGCGGCGGCAGCGGGGGCGGGCGGTGGATTGGCGGAGGAGGTGGATGGGGCTTCTCTAACAGGGCCCAAGCATATGAAACGGCTTCACTCGCACATGCAGTTGCCAGAGCGCTTCTTGCAATGCATGTGAACAGAAGCAACGGGTGTGCAGCAAGGGGAGCAAGAAAAGAAAGAACGAAAGACAAGAGAGAGGAGAGAGAGTGAGAGTAAGAGACGAGGAGAAGGAAGGACGGCGATACGAGACGAGGAGATCAGACAGCAGGGCAATGCGAGGGTAGCAGCAGCCTAGTAGCGTAGCCGTTCGTGGTTGCGGAGAGGGTACTGGCACTGGCACTGGCACTGGGACATGCACATGCAGCTAGACGACAGGGCCAAATTGGCCAGGGTGCACGCTAATTGCACGCCCGTGTTGGCTTTGCCATTCCAAACGCCCTCGTAAATGCGCCCGAGCGAGATTGCGCATGCGCATGCCTCCACCTGCACTCGATCCGGCCAGCTTGCGCGTGGCAGCCCAGCGCAGTCTGCTGTTGCTGTGGTACCACGCAGCCAGTGTGGATATGCTTGCCCCCATAATACGAGACCCTCGGCCTGCCGGTCAGCAACCACTCTGTCTGACTCTGTGAAGACGGCGGCCCCGGCGCCATGACGGCCATGGCAGCTGTTTCACGCGTCTTGACAGCTGCTACACTACGCGTCTGCCAACCTCTTTTGCCTGTCAGCAACGGCGGCGGCGGCGACAGCAACGATACAAAAAAGCCTCATGCGGAGAGGTGGGTGGGTGTATGTGTGTGTGTGTGTGCCTCTCCTGTCACACCAACTCCAACTTACATACTTAGATACTAGTCCAGCGTCCCAAAATTGGAACACCACACACACCGGTCTATGCCCGAAACATGGCAGCATCCGCTCCAGCAACGTGGAGTGATAAGGCGGCAACAAGGATCATCACATTCTAACCTCGCCTGTCGGCTGCCGTGGCCCCTTGTCCGCTCTCCTTTGACGTTAGCTTTTTGTGAAAATGGGCCGTGGCCAATGCCAAATCTGCGGCCAAGTCCATGCAAGCTTACGCCAATCCACGGTAGTCGACGTCAGCCCCATGGCGACAATCAGTCCACAGTACACTACATATGCTCGCACACTGCCCTTACCAGCTGCACATGTAGGTAGGTACAAGTACATGTCCAACTCGTCCGGCCGTAGCAGCCAGGGGTCCTACCGCGATGTGAGATGGGAACAAGGTGCTTACTGTGCCTCAGCCTGTTAGCGCCCGGAGAGGAGCCATATGGGCCTCAGCACTAAAAAATAAGCGATATGACGATGGGCCTCCCTACTCGACATTGGCCCTACCAACCACACCCCGCCAAGTCAACGACCTGCCTTTACACACGATGCGCCAGCCACAAGCAGTAGGACACGCCTGCCCCACTGGCTCACTAGCCACACGCGAGCCTCCACCGATCATCCTCATTAGCATCATCATTATCATCATCATCATGATCCTCATCTCAACTTATAACCATGTCACTCCAACACGCGTCGCATACATGCTTAGAGTTTAATCTGACCGGGCCACGAAACCAAAAAATTACTGGCCCGATTCCGTCAGCCATCGTTCCACCTGGACAGACACACACACAAGACTCTAAAAATTGTACTTACACCGCACGCGCCCCTCCGTGAGATCATGGCCCCTGTCACATCCGTATAGATCATGTGAACCAATCTTGCCCGTATACATACATACATACATACATACATAACAGTTCACACCGTGACATTTCTCGTGATGACCAAATTATGTCTCAACGCATACGTACAATGTTGAATGAAGCTTCGACTTGGCAGTTCCTGGAGCCGCAAGTGGGGCTCCACCTAACCATGACGGAACAGAGACCCATACTATCGTCATAACCTCCGAAACGTATACCCCTCCGTCGTTCTTCCCCGCCAAATACACCCACCCCTCCCCCATAGTCTGTCGTTCCTGCCCCCAACAACACGCGTACCAATGTCTTCTCAGACCACCTCCGAGCCCCTCCAGACTTATGAGGTCTCGGATTTCACCTTCCGCAATGCTTCCACACTGCCCAAGGTCAAACTAGCCTACAAAATCCTCAATCCACACAACTCCAAGATTGCAGTCGTCCACACCTGTTTCAAAGGCCGCCTCAACACCACCCCAACATACGCACACGGCGCCCTGAAGAACCACAAGATTATCCTCATCGCCCTCCTTGGCAATGGCGAATCCTCCAGTCCTTCAAACACTCCAAACTTTCCCTCCCAAATTGAATACATGGACTGCATCAATGCTCAATATCCCCTCCTGACCGAGGAGCTCGGCATCAAAAACGTCGATGTAATGTTGGGCTTCTCCATGGGCGGCCAAATCACCTACCATTGGCTGGTTTCCCATCCCGACTTTATCAAGCATGCAGTCATTATTTGCTCCTCAGCCAAGACAAGCAGACACAACTACCAATTTCTCGAAGGCCCAAAGGCGGCATTGGAACATGCTGCCAGTCCGGCAAGAGGCATCAGAGCCTTTGGCAAAGCCTACTCGGCTTGGCTAACGAGTGCAGAATGGTTCGACAAGGAATGCTACAAGGAAATGGGCTTCCAGCAACTGCGCGATTGGGACGATGTCACAACTATCCAGGGCTACGAAGGCTGGGCCGCCGACGATCTGCTGGCCATGCTGGGCATGTGGCAACGGGGTGATGTTGCTCGCTGCACCAAACATGGGGATTTGCAGGCGGCACTAAAGAGCATCAAAGCAAAAGTACTCCTTATGCCATGCGAAATGGATCAGTATTTCAGGCCCTATGTAAGCCACAGGGAGGTCGAGAGCCTGCAAAACGGCCTTGTCGAGGTCATTCCTAGCATCTGGGGTCATATTGCGGGCGGCGGAGCCAATAAAAAGGACACTGAGTGGATGGATCACAGGATGAAACTCTTCTTGCGTGGTCTAGCGTAGGGGCCATGACAGGCTTCATTGTTTCACCCTATCTAGTAGCACAGCACGTGATGTCAATCCCATTGCATGCTGCACGAAATCAATCACGATGACAGTTTTCGAGAAGAAAGACGATGGTGAGTTAAGCTTTTGCCAAGCAGTGCACGCAGGAGAAGAAGACGTTGATGAACACGCCGTTGCAGTGGAGCTAATCCCCAGGGCTGGAAGTCGTTTCGCCTTTGCTTTGCAGCCAATCAACTAACGGCCTCATCGATATGTTATCGCCAAGCTCTTACACTCAACGCCTCATCCCTACCCTCTTTGAGTGCCCTACACTCTAAACCCACAAAACCTTACTCTGTGACTCCCATTTATATGGAAGAAGAGCCCACTTCAAACTTTGTCGCGTAATTGTACCAAATACTCAACTTTCCAAGAGAAGGAAGGAAAAACATCAAACGCCATCATGTCATACCAAACACCATCAGCCTATTCCCCAATGTCTTTTTCTTCTTCTTCGTCTTCATCCCCTTCATCCTCAGACACAAGCGCAGGAGTGAGCGCGCCACGAACCAAGCGCGCCCGCGTATCCGCAGAACACACACTAAACCGTGTGCGAGAAAACCAACGACGACACCGTGCCCGCCAACGCGACCACGTCGCTTCACTAGAACTCAAGCTCGCCGAGACAGAAAGACTACTAGTAGAAGCAAGAGCAGAAATCGCCCTACTCAGACAACAAGCCGCGGAAAGAGATGCATACGACGGTGGAAACATGGAAAGCGGAATACTAGAAAAAGACATCATATCCCTCACGCCACCGACATCGGCACCAACCCAAAACCAAACCGCACTATTCCTCATCCCAGCCCAAAACGAAAGCATCAACAACAGCAACAGCAATCCAACCTCGCAGCACAACGTCTACCCAGATATGTCCCAAATCACAGACCTATCCTTCTTCACCAACACGACCACCTCACCCGCTACCACGTCCATCACCACAGACTCAACCTACTTCCTATCCCCCCTTCCACTCCCCCTCCCCCTCTCCCTCCCCAACAGCACCCCGCCCCTCGACCTCCAAGACACAACCCCAACCGCCGGCCCCCCACCCTGCTGCTCCGACCCCCCCGCCCTCCTCTCCCCACCACCTTCTTCCCCCTCAGACCCAGAATGCACAACCTGCAAAACCCGCCCCCCACCCTCGCCCAACGAAAGCACCACGCTATGCGCCCAAGCCTACGTCTTGATTCGACAGCAAAACTTTCGTAATCTGGATCCCCAGTCCATACGGCTGTGGTTGGCCCAGGGGTTGCGCAGAGCGCAGAGGGAAGGTGAAGGGTGTAGGGTGGAAAATGGCGCCTTGTTGCGCTTGTTGGATTTTATTAGTGGGGTTTAAAGATGTTGGAAGAATCATGGAGAAGTTGGAGGAAGAGAGGAAGAGAATGGATGGATGGATGGAGTTTTTTTTTATACAATTCTTCGGTTACTGTAGATTTTATCAATTGTTCATTCTTTGACGTTTTTATCAATCTTGAAGGGGGGAGAGGAGAGGAGGGAGGGAACGTGGATTTACTTGAGTGATGCATAAACATGCATGATACACGTCTTAAGATGGGACAAGATTGGAGGAGGAGGAGGATGGGAAGAAGGAAAAAGCAGTTGTGGCTGTTTGAATTTCTTTTTCCATTACCTTAATCGCTATGCAGACAAAAGAAGAAGAAAAGAAGACGAAGAGAGAGAGAGAAAGAAACAAAAAAGGACAAGATCCATATAAATATACAAATCTCATGGCTTGGAGTCGTGAAAATGGAGACATTTCAATCGGCCGTTTAAAACCCCCCCACCCGCATGTTGCCATCTGAGATCCTGTTCATGGACAAAAGAAAAAGAAACACTCGTGTCATGGCACAAAAAAAACCGACCGTTTCGTTTACCGTCCCATGCGAATCACACCCGCATGCACAAGTTTCTGGATCTTGGACCGAATCTCGGGGTTCTTCAAGTGCTCCTGTAGCGCCGCGGGATCTTCCTTTGCTTGTTGCAAGATGGCTTGCATAATCGGGTCTTGCAGGATACCGACAATCTATCATTTCGTTAGTTAAAAAGTAACAAGATACTAGTAGCTTGCTTCAAAACTCACCTCTGGGTCTCGCTGGATACGCTCCATAGTCTCCTGCTCAGTCTCACCCTCGCGGGCAGCATACTGTGCCTGCAATGCCTTGGCTTCTTGTTGCTGAATCTCCCGTGTGTGCTTGCCCTCCTTGTCGTGCTCCATGGCTTCGGTGCACGTGTTAACGCACTTGTTGTACTCGCGCATGGTAAAGTATGCTTGGGCCTTGCGTAGGTATGCTCGGATGAAGTCTGGGTCGCGCTTGATAGCCTCGTCGCAATCTTGAATGGCCGATGGGAACTCGAGCAACTTGATAAAGCAGGCGGCACGGTTAGAGTATCCTCTTGGATCATCGGGGGCACGCTTAATCATCTCTGTGTACGCTTCAACCGCACCGGGCCAGTCCGACTCCTTGAATTTGGCATTTCCGAGTTCGCGTGCCTTCTCAGCCTCCTCCGGGTTAATGTATGACTCCTTCTCTGCCTTGATCTTGGCCTTTTCGGCAGCACGAAGCTTGGCAAGCACCTCGGGTGTACGGTGCTCTGTCTGTGCCTTCTGGTAGTAGAGAATTGCGTTGCTGAGATCGCCCATTCTCTCGTAAGCGGTACCAATACGTGCAAATGCCCTGCAAAATGTTAGACACGACCGTGTGACTTGTTGGCGAAAGACTTACTTTGCAATGATCTTAAAGTCTGCGAGAATTTCTCGACCATACTCAACGGCCTCTTGACAGGCCTTGATGCAGGACTCGTAATCACCCTTTTCGAAATAGGCTGCTCCCAAGTTGGTCTTGTATGTGATGTCCTTGTGGGTTTCCCATGCCTTGTTGTAGTTTTCAATGGCTTCGTCAAACTGTCGCTTCTTGTAGAATTCTGTGCCCTTCTTCTTCAGTTCATCGGCTTCAGCCTTGGCTTGCTTCGCAGCTTTCTCTTCTTCAGTCTCTTCGACGGGCTCGGGTTCAGGCTCGGGCTCAGGCTCCTTCTTCGGCTGCTCAGGTGCTGGGCGCGCATCGGGCATCTCGACGTCTTCCTCTACCCTTGCATTTTGCCCACCTGCGCCACCTGCGCCATCTGCACCTCCGGCTTCTGGTGGCTGACCGAAAGACATGTCGATACCTAGTAGTACGCTCATGACCTGCAGGAAGCGAGGATCTTGCATAAACTGGCCTGCCATGTTTGGGTTCTTTTGCAACATCTGAAGCTTGCCCATGAATTCTGGATCAGCGAGCAGAGATGCAGTCTTTGGGTTGGCTGCCAGCTTTGCGATCATGTTTGGATCGCTGAACATACCACCAAGTCCTGCACCATCAGCACTGGCCTCGGCGTCGATTGCACGCTTTACAGCTTCCAGACCCGACTTGGCTTGGGCATTGTTGGGATCGAGCTTGAGTGCCTGATCAAAGGCGTCTGATGCTCCCACTATCTGCTGTCAGCAGTGAATTCTCCCATATCATAAAGCTCACATACATAAGTCACCCTCGCCGTGTAGCGCAGTTCCTTTTCGCCCCCAGCCTTTTGACCAGTCGGGCTTGATCTCTGTAACTTTGTTCGCATCTTCGAGTGCCTTTTTCCAGTCTTTCAAAGATGCATATGCGCCTGATCGGTTCGAGTAGAGGACGTGATTTGTAGGGTCGAGCTCGATGGCTTGTGAGAACTTCTCGCTATACTTTGTTAGTAAATGGTGGGCTCGGCCATGTTTGCGGGGAACTTACATGGACTCCGCGAACTTCTTCTCAGCGAAGAGCTTGTTACCCTCTGCTTTTAGTGCGTCCGCCATGTTGTTGATGTGAAAATCTGGCTATTCCTGCACAAAAATTACGAATTACTTGTCGTGTATAGTCTCTGAGGGAGCAGCTTTGAATTATTGTAGTTTGATGTGTAGCTAGAATGTTCGATTGCGGAGCTCGGGAAAGACGTCCGTGCTTCTTGAGCGCTGAAAGGGCGTCTGTCATAACCCCACCATTCAGCCTGACGTGACATCTCTCCAGCTTGTAAGTGATACCAACATCTCTCAGCCCTTTTCACGCATTTTTGTGCCGCACTCAGCGTTGATTCAATGATATCATCACTTGACAGGAGATAATCGACAAGGTGTTCGAGTTGATGTTAAATTTCATTAGCACTGTGGCTTACTGAGAAATACCTTGTAATGCCGCTTGGATCTGCGATGTTTGGGAGGCAGACACTTATTTGTTATTATGTTTTCAAGCAATGACTTTCTTGCTGAGAATGAAAGATTTCGACGCAGCTATGACTAACATAATGACAAGCCTTTCACCTGGTCTTATCCTCAGACGCCACAGGAGGCGCTCTTGCTCCGTCCGAGAATCTGGCGTAGCCCACAAGTCATGGCTCAAGTAGTGCGGCAGGCGCAATGGGAGGCGCAGCTCGTTCAAAGTGGGCACTACGATAAGATTATGGTTCAAAACCTGGAAGTTGTCGTCAATGCCGGCAAAGACGTCTGGGGTCGTGAGAAAAAGCAAAGAGCCTTTATCAGTGTCACTCTCACTCTTGGCAAGCAATTCACTTCAGCTTCTTCCACGGACTCCGTCGACGATAGCACCGTTCATTATGGCATACTCAGCAAAGCCATCCAAGCAAAATTCGGAAACGATACATTGGCTTGGACAAACACGTCCGCACTGTCAGCTGCAATTTCACAATGTGTGCGCGATGTTGCAGGTTCAACTGAAATATACGCCATCGAAACGAACGTGTGCTACCAAAAGGGAAGCATGCTCGGCGAAGGAGCAGGCCACACGACTTCTTGTATTGAAAAGTCGGGAACACGCTCGAGCGTACTTTATTTGCGCAACGTCCGCATTCCTTGCCTAATTGGGGTCAACGCGAATGAGAGACTGCAAAAGCAGCCCGTGGACGTCAACATCTGGATAGATGGAATCGATGACTCTCGCGTCGACGACTATCCGCAACTGGAGAGCCTGTTGCTTGAGGTGAGTACGTTCAGCTCAAGTGCTGGATGCAAACTGACCCGCCGCAGTTGATCTCAGGGTCCTCGTTCCAGACGATTGAGAGCCTGCTAGCGTGGCTCGTCGAAGAGCTTAGACAGAAGTTCTTCACGCAAGATGTGGATCAGGGCGCATGGATCAAGCTGCGAGTTGGCAAGCCCCACGCCGTACCTTTTGCCGACGCGCCAGCTGTGGAGATTATGCGACCAGTGCGTTCGGATTGAGACGAGAACATGTTTGACAGAGCATGGAATACGGTTGGTGATGGCGAACCAGAACAAGGCCTGTGACCATAGAGGCGGGTGCAAATATTGGCGAGACGCAAGCCACGGGAAGAAATCAGAATGTGTGTTCCTGAATCGAGTAGTATACTCTGTGGATAAGCTCCGCTAGCGTGTCCGGCGGCGATTTGGACCCCACTCAATATCTATCCCCCTGTCTTACACGGTGTAAGGGCTTCTAGAGTTTTGACAGTCCTCGGTCTGGGTACAGTGTCGACTGCCGATGAGCTGGCAGGCTGACATTCATAAAGTTAACTGCCACGGGTTGTTGGTGTTGGTGTTGTTGTTGCTCGTAGCAGGACGGAGGGAGGGCGTTGATCTAAATGTCTGTCAAGCAAGGGCATCGCTGCTGTAAGCCTACAATACACAACCTTAGTAGTAGATCCCCCACGTGTTTTAAGCGACAGCTGAACTCGGGACGGCGTTGAGTGTACATAGTGGCGCCAACCACAGTGGTACTCTAAATACTGTACCCCTGGAGTAGTGATAGATATGTAAGTAGATATGCTCTCGGCGTAGAGCATACCGCAAGCATAATGTCACCCGAAGGTGACTGTGTGCACACACGTAGTAGCTAGACTGGGCAGGTGGCCGTCGACGAAGAAGCGGGCTGTCCAGGAATAGCAGGGCATTTGCCTCAATGTCGCGCGTTCGCCACAGGCCAGGAAAATTGGGACGTTGCCCGCATGCCGGGGAAGATTGTTGGGGAGCAATGGGAAAGGCGGTCGCGCAGGCTACGTCAGGTTGGGTACATGCCCCCCCTGCTAGCGCGGCGACCAGATGAGGGGCTTTTCAGTTTATCGACATAGCTCCCAGGAAATTATTCAACAATTGTGCATCGTGAGGTTGAACAGATAGGCGGCCACCAAGCCCATTCGGTGCATCGTAGTGACATTGACTCGGACAGACGGCCGGATAGCAGCCAGCAGCGCCGCGAACTGGGGCCGGTGGCAGACAGAGCCACAAATGGTGTGCTGAGACGTCGGTGAAGGGGGCGCCGAGGTGGGTACAGCAAGTGGGAGGTGGAGGTGGTGGTG